TATTAATTTTCTCTATGTCCAAACCATTTGCATAGAGGAGACTGGATTTTTTAACTCTGTAGCCAGCCACTCGGTCAAGAGGTTTTGGCTTCACTTTTGGGAGCTGTCATCTTGTCCATATTTGGATTCAGTCTTTGGTTAAGACCAGTGTAAACGACCTTGCCACCTCAACAGAAGAAAACACAAACAAAATTGACTACATCATCAAAAGGTGTAAAAGGTTTTGTATTATAGCTTGTGACATTTTTACTATATGAATTATGTCCAACCAGGTTATTTGTCTGAATACAAAGGGTTACTTCGAACTCATTAAATTGTTGAAGCTACTTCAGAACGACTCTAGCCTCAAGGTTTCTCATTGTAAACACATTTTTCACATTCTCACTCTGAGGTTCTCTAAATACCTTCTTACTGCTGAGCAACTGCTTCAGTTTTAAAATATGTCAAGTCTCATCATTTGCAAAACTGCTGTCTGTTGTTGTTATAGTCTGTTTTGCTTTTTTACAGTTTCATCACTTTGAAGTTGCACATATTTGTATTTTCCTTAAAAGACGTTGGAGTGAAGAAGTAATTGGAGGATAGAACTGAATGCATGACAATTACCATCATCCTTGTCTTTATCTCTTTTTCTCTCATAGAAAGTGAAGAGTTTGGGCCTGTTTTCATCCTGGAGCCTGATGATGTCATTTTTCCTTTGGATTCTACCGAAAAGAAAGTGGTGATGCAATGTGACGCACGGGGAAATCCACCACCTACGTACAGGTGGGACATGTTTTTCTTCTGTCTCCTAAATGTAATCTTACTTTCTTTCATTCCTCGTCATTAAAAACACTTCTTTGTCTTGTGCTCTTCAGTTGGTTCATCAATGGGACAGACGTGGTGGAGGAGGCAGATTACCGCTACAGCTTCATTGATGGGAACTTGATTATTACCAATGCCAGTGAGATCACGGACTATGGGAAGTACCAGTGTAAAGCAGAAAACCGCTTTGGGACCATCTTAAGTCGAGACGCTCTGTTGCAGTTTGCATGTAAGTTGGCCTTTTACTTATTCAACCATCTCTTACAATTCTGCTTACAAAAGGTCTCAGTAGCATCAGCTGTAGCATCAAGCTCCAGGTTTCTGTGTTGGCAAAATGTATGAATGCACCTTTTTTTTTAGTCTGTTACCTTCAAGCTCTTTGAGTCCAAATAAATCTGTTTAGTTCAAGGCTAAATAAACAACTTACTCTCTGCAGTAAGGTTTTGCTGAGTTCATTTTTACACTGGTTCCATCTGATTATGTTGAGTCACACTGCTAACAGGGTATGTATTCTCAAATGTAACATCTTCATGGTAAATTAATATGAAAAAATACACATTTCTTTCCAAACTACTCCCCTGGCCAAGCTCCTAACCGTCATCAGAGTCCGGTCAGACGGTGTGAGCAGGGGCACTGTGAGAGAAGGAAAGTGCCTCGCTGGTTTTCTTTACAGTTTCCTCAGGAGCAAAGACCATAATAGCTTTATTGGCATTTTTGCTGGGAGCTTACTGTTCTCAGTGGTTGCTGCTAAGTACAGTATATGGTCTCATATGTTGTTATTTTTAGAGGACTTTGTTAGAGGAGTAGGTGTGATGTATGTTTTATACGCCAACCTGGAAGTGTGCATTACAGTGGTTCCCACAACAAAAAGCTGTTACCAATGGTACTGTTCCATTATTATTCAATTATATCTGTGAAAATCTTTTTCCGGTTGTCGAGCATGCGCCTGAGCTGGAGAATCGCCTGCTGCCTCTTTCATATCTGAAAGGCAAACTCAGGAAAATGTGAGAACCCAGTTTTCCAGACATTTTCCAAAGTTCTGAAAAATGCCCTTGAAATTAAGTAATAGTTTGTGAGAATAAATGCCTCAAGGCTGGAGAAGCAAACTAATAAGTAAAATTGATTTTCGGTATCAGAGTGATGAGGTTTAATGTCCACAACAATTCTGTAATTTCATTTCAGCAATCCTGTTTTTAAGAGAAAAAAGTTTAAAAACCATATGCAGGGAATTACTGCCATATTTTATGTTGGAGAATAAAAAGTTGAAATGTTGTGAGCTTGTGTTGACAATTGATCTTATTTCAAGTATCTCACAAAAAATCCATTCAACAAGCCCTTCATTCTCGGGACTGGGGAACCAGACGTGCACATATTATAACTTGTTCTTTGGTATTAGGACTCATTCTATCATTGAGGAAACAAGTGGCTGGATTAACCTGAATCTTTGCCAACATGAGCAAAGGACAGAGTTCAGGTCTGCTCTGTCTTTTCTTCAGGCTAATAGAACCTTTTGTTTTCTTTAGTCTTTTCTTTCATTTGTATTAGCATGATCAAAAAAGTGAATAAATAAGTACAGTGCCAAATTAAATACAAGGCCGTCTTCGTTGGCAGGCCAAAATGTCCAGATGGTAACGCGCAAACACAATTTAAATGAGTGCTGCTAATTTCTGAGGGACAGAAGCTGCCCCCAAACATGTACCCTCATCTGTCCTCTCAACTGTCCAGATCCTCCCCCTCTCTCCACTCCAGTGCCAAATCCTTAAGTTAAAAAAATAAGCTTGAGTCTTTTTTCCATAAAAATGTAACTTGTCTGAAAATGAGCAATGGAAGTTGTAGGTGCTCAGTTATTAGTGTAAGCTTCAAGCTGAGATACGGACACTATAGGCACGGTGGAAATGTCCAATTTTTTCCACTGGAGTATTTTTTCCTAATTATATTTTTACTTGAGGGAATCAGGTATTTTTCACCACATCTTCTTTATTGAGCTTTCTATTTGATTAAGGGTTTCTGTAGTGGTTTCTGCTATAGATGACTATGAAATCTAAATGAACCATAGATATATCATACAGTATAACATGAGTGCTTTCCAGGGTCTGTAGTTTTTTTTGTTTACTGTTGCCTTATTTAATCATTAAACCCAGAGTAATACTATACCACAGTACAATAAAGAGTGACATCACATTGGAAAGTATTGCTATCCCTTTTAAACTCTCTGCAAAGTAGCAACCAGCATGGGTACCCACATTTAGTGACATTTACTTACATCTTGTTCATTTGGTCTCTGTAGCTACATTTAGTCGTAAAGCAAAGTCCATGTTTGAAGTCATCTTTGGTAGATTGGCAGGTATGTAAGCTGAAACGATTTGTCATCACTTTGACTCAGGCCAATTTCAGACAGAATTGGATTTTGCCATTCGAGTAACTGAACAGTCAGTATCCTGTTGTTGGGGGCATGACAGGGAGTAACATTGAAGTTGATGCAGCACAGACAGGACAGACAGGCTGCATCAACTTCAGTGTATTGTGGTCTATAAAATACCCAATAACATTATCATTCAACTCTTTTTGCTAATTGACATTATTACCTCGTAGTCGGTTACAGCAACAAATTGCCAGTGACTTTGTTCGGAGCCAGAGCCTGAACATCTCAGTGAATTAACATGCATGATGGTCTCAGCTGTACTATTGAGTCAGCAACAGATCCCACATCTCACCAACTGTTGTATGAGATGTGAGTCAGAAATATCCAAGGGGGAGGAAAGAATAAATATTTGTGTAATGGTGGCACATTCAGTAATATCATCAGTTAAAGAGACACTGAAACAAATATTTGTTCTATTTGTGGATACAGTCTTTTAAAAATATAGACTCAAATATCTTTAAACAATAGAATCATGTTGGGCAGGGCAAACCAGAAAATCAATGGTTCGATCCCAGTCTTCCACATTTCACATGCCAAAGTCTTCACGGGCAAGATATACTGAATCCCAAATTGCCCCTGTCGGCTGTGCCGTTCTCATAGAAATCAGTGCTGCCCATACATGCACTGTATGAATGTTTGTGTGGGTAAATGACAAAAAAGACTAGAAAAGCACCATATAAAACACCACTGACCATATTGTAATGAAAAATAAAATAATTTCAGTCTACTCACAAAGTAATTTCTCTGAAATTGAGTGTAATAAATAAACAATTTGAGATGTTGAGAACAACAAAATTAATCTTTCTGTTTAATCAAATAAAATCTAAATGTTTGACTGATCCAGCAGCTGTACACAGAAATTGATATAAAATATTCAGGAATGTGTAGAAACAATTTCAGAAGGTTCTCACCTTTTCCAGGATATAGTGTGTGAGTGTGATAATGTAGCATTGGGTGTAATAGCAGTTTGTTGCCATACTATCTTTGTGTATAAAGCACCAGTAGGAAATAATTACATTAACTTTGAAGGCTGAATTTGGTCATTTCTGTAGAAAAATAGGAAGTTAACCAATTTCGCAATAAAAATCCCTAAATCTTTCCTTTGCATCTACAGTTTTTCAGTGGACTCGAAGTGCAACATTTAAATATAAACTGGAATGAAAACTAAATGACTAAAAAGGAGAACATGAAAACAAAGATGTGCAACATACACCACAGACAAGTCTAAACTCACTAAAAACACATATACACTGGGATTTTTTCACATTGATTGGCTCTGTGTGTAATGCAGGGATAATAATGCATAATCAGAAAAATACACAGGGTCAAACAGAGTATATCTAATATGGTCAAAAACTTTACTTAGCTAGATTCAGAAAACAAATGTCTTTTTTCTGAAATTCTATCCATGCCTATACAGAAGTGACACATGTATGTTTCCTCAGGTTTATTGAGTTCAGAGCCTACATGCAGCACCATCAGTGTGTAATAGTCTCAAACCCAGTCAACATTTCCTTTAAATGGGACCCTTCAGAAGGCTTGCCACAGAAACAAAGAGAGGTGCCCTGCAGCACACATTTGGATGCAGAACCGTCCCTCTCTCTCTCAGCATAACAAATAGTGGGTATTTATCACTCAGCGTGGAGCGCAACTTTCCCTGTTCTTTTCATGTTGGCACTGCACACATACAACTGTTTGTGCTCTATACTGAGTTTGTGCTACATTTACTTCAAGTATTTCATTTAAACATGAAAAAATTCCCTTTATTAATTGAATGTTTTTAAGCAATTACAAGTTGTAAGATGCTGAATATGAATTGACAACCTTGAGTCCTGTGTGTTGACATTAATGCAACTGTGTGTATTAATACACATACAATAGAATGATCTGCACTGGCAAATATTACACTTTATAAAGATGTAGTAATTCCTACTGGCTCAGACACGGCAGAGAGTCTTCATCATAATGCACTACAGGAAGGTCTGGTCCTGTGAGCCAACTGACCTGAATAGTTTCTGTAACTGGAACATAAAAACAATGAGTTATTTGTGGAGGGGGGGGGGTTCGCAACGTTTTTACTCCATGATTGTGTAAAACTGTGTTACCAGTATACACACATCAGCAAATTCATATTTTGTGATGTTAAGTTTTAGATTTTGGTCAAGATAAGGACAAAATCTAATTGACTTTTGTTAAGAGGGGCTAAACTCATTTGGACCTTGCTGGCCTGACTGAGTTTTGCTGGGTCGGGCAAACGCTCAGATCACATGCTTGTGCAGCACTGTACCCTCTATAGTCCAGAGGGTTGTTATGTCAAGCTGCTGGACTGAACACGGCTCTGTTTCTTTCAGGGAATCAGGGGAAAGGTGGAGTGGACCAGCTAGACTGCATGAGGAAAGGTTCAGTCAAGGCTGTCTATATTCTATCTACTGGTCGTGTTCTCTGCTCCATAGATGTTTCAGTCGGATGTTTTCTCTCTCTCTCTCTCTCTCTCTTTGTTTTGAAATTCTAAGCCGCTGAACTCACACTTGGGCTGTTTTTCAGGCGTGACTTTGAAGGCAGCAGGCAGAAAGGAGGCCTCTGATCTTTCTCCCCAAAGATTTCTTCTCTCTCTGCAGATGAGAGTCTGGCTGAGGCTCAGGTATCGAGTCTCTGTGAGCAGTGCGCTAGTAATGAAATTAATGCACTGCTTTGACTCGAGCATTTGAAGATCCACCCGCACACACACCCTACTCTGAAATGTTCTGCAAATCTGATATCAGCGGTATTTAATACCCATTGATCGAATTATACTGATGTTAAAATAACTAATTTGTATTGAACACCTGCTCTTGCGTTATCTGCAAATTTCATCGTTGCATTTCTGGATTTTAAACATTTATGCAGACGTACCGTACGTTGACGTGGGATTTTTGGGGATGCTATTATTACCATGTTTTTCATTGTTAAAACATTTTGAATACCAATATAAAATTATAACATAACTAGTTGCAAAGAGAAATGATTGGAGTTTCCTTTTGAACCTTGTTTCATGGTTCAATAAAATATGAAGGCCTTGAACATTCCTGTCATATTTTTTAAGGGAGAAGTGATAATTTTTGTAGTCTCTGCATTGCTCTTCTCACTATACAGTCAGTACTATAGGTTATATCCAGAAAATCATTTCTGGATAGTGGGAGGAAGTTGAGAGGCAACGTCCAACTTTATATATATTTATAAAAGAAGCTCCTGATTTTTATTTTCTCTTTCTCCTCGTGGTGGCTATCACTGCTCAAGCTACCCATAGCTGATTTATTCCAAACAAGCAGTGTTGCTGCATCTGCCTGCAATTATATTATCTGATTGTCCATGCACCTACGTTATGCTCTTAAACTGGAAACGATGCACTGCAGGGTGAATCGCTGAAGCAGTTGGTAATCTCGAAAAAGGAAAAGGACAAGATGACTTAGCGTTAGTGAATAATTGCAGAGAAAAGAAAATCTACACAAACGCATGCTCACATTTGGTTCCTGCCACGTACAAGTCATGTTGTACTTTAGCAATTACTGTTGTTGTACTTCAGCAGTCGGATGCAAAGAGCCCCGGTCAATAGTCCTTAGACGGTTAGTGTTTCCGTCTTTGTGTTACTTATTAACTCACTCATTTGTTTCATTTGTTCTCCTGAGAAATCTATTTTACTTAACTTGAGTCCGTTTGCTCATTGAAGCTAAAATAAAGGACACTGATCGGCACCAAGTCATGATCCATGTTGGATGAATAACAAAATGAGAAAGAGGTAGAAAAAAACCCAACAAAAGACAGGGTGGTGACAGCTGCCGGTGAATCAATAAGGAACATTGTGACGATCTCTGGACACCTCATACATTCTTATTGGACCAAGACGAAGGCATCAAGTAGCTTTGAGACGGCAGTGCATGACGGTTTCTTAAAGAACATTAATGAAGAGAAGATATCTTCAGTCATCTTCATTTCTTAAAATTGAGATGCACTTCCAGTATTGAACAGTCTGGAGCTGAGTAACGGTTTATTATAGGATCTGCTTGGGTTCAAACTAACTCTCATTAAACGTTTGCATATCACATTGGGTTTGAATGCCGAGCTAAACTGTCTCATAACAGCTAAGTGACAAATGCATAAATACAACATACTGCTTCTCCAAGTAACCACACTGTGTCCTGAAAGTTAAAGAAATATAAAGTGAAGGGAAAATGGCTTTGTGCTACATTTAAAGATAAAGGTCGTGAACCATGATCATTATTAAATGTGTCAGAATATGGGAGGAAATTGAGGTTTCTCATGTCACTAGGAGGCGTAATTATCCAGCACTTTCAGGTGAACAGTAAACAATGTCTCTCAAAGCGATGGAATGAAAGTGGTGCGGACACAGAGACCTGCCCTGGGTCAGCGGCCTGTCGCTTGATTTCCACATTTTGGCGTTGCCTCAAATGGAAATCAAACGGGCAGCATTAGGTTCCAGAAGGCTGCCGTTGTGGGATTTCAGATTAAACCTGCTTTGTTCTACTTCTATAGAAAAACAACCAGGTAAAACAAAGACAACAACATCAGCACTGATTCAAAATAATGTTTCGGACGTATTTCGTTATAAGACGCTCATTCTACATGTGAATTATTTAATCCTGCAATGACTCAAATGCAATTCTTCAAGATCCATGAATTATTATCTGGGAAATCAGGAAAAATTGTTGTTCTGGATCATCCCCCTGATTTGGTTCTGCACCAATGTTTAATGGTTTCTTTAGTTTTTTAGTACTCAGTCCTTTTTTTCTGGGTAATCATGCTTACAAACAAATAGACAGAGGGGAAAATATAACCTTAATAATCTTTATTTGACACCAGACTGAAAATCAACAGAAGTTGGCAGTCCAGGTACGTTCTGTGAACTCATTACTATATAAGCTTTTCCCACCAGGAACTGAATAGAGGAATATTTACCTTGCCACACAAACTCAAAATTCAAGTCAGTTATTGTATCAGGGAGTTTTTCTTTTTCATCCCTCAATATGAAGTTGAGGCTGAGTGCAGGGACGACTCTTCAGATTGATCCGACATAACCGTGATGTTATTGACTGTGTGTTTCAGATCTCGGTGCTTTCAGTGGAAAGACCAGAGGTGGGGTCTCCGTGCGTGAAGGCCAGGGTGTGGTGCTCATGTGTACCCCTCCTCCTCATTCACCAGGTAAGACATTAAACTGCACCTCAAGTCACAACCAGAGCTTTGGGGCTGATCAATAAAATCCTCACTGTTCATCAGGACGCCCACAACGACGAGTAATGTTGTTGCTGTTGCAAGGTGAATGAATGTTCTAATATTTATTTATTGTGTTTTGTACCCCATCTATTCTCCTGTCCATCCATCCATGCTGTTCAAATGATGAGCGTGATAAGTTATGGCAACAACAGAGCAGAAACACAGATTTCTCAGGGATCAGATTTGCCGGATCATTAGAAATGAAAAGAAACGTTGCACCGCCAATTATTTCACATATCGGCAGAACACGGGCACCGAGTCTTTAATGGCATTTTCTTGAATTTTGTCAAATTTAGTACGAATGTTCATTCGGACTTATAGATGAACTGATTAGAATTAGGTGGTCGAAGGTTAAAGGTCACGCGCTGACCTCATGTTCTTATGAATGTGATATATCAGAAACAACCATCTGGAATTTCATTGCATCACGCACTAATATTTACTTGGGCTCAAAGATGACCTGATTTGAATTTGTAGTTCAAAGGTCAGAGTCACTCTGACTGCATACAACCTTGTGAACGTGTTATCTTAAAAACAAGTTCTGGGAAATAGACTCAGATGAACTTGCGGGTGGCAAAAGGTGACGTTCACAAATTATGCCTTTGGCCTCTTGAACATGATGTCTCAAGTCTGCCTTTAGGGATTTCCAAAATTGATCAGGTGTCACTTAGACACAAAGATTAATTTGATTAGATCTCAGTGGTCAAAGGTCAAATGGACCTCACACAAGTCTGGAAAAAACCTTCCTTGCTGTGAAACTGCACTGGTTGGCAGGCGTTCAACTGCAGAGTGTTGATGATAGTTTTTCCAACCTAACAAAGGTTTTCTGTTGAATGGGTAAAAAGTGTGATTGACATCAAATTAGAGATGATGTGGAGTGAGGTCAGCATAATGGAAAAAGTGATTTTCTGTCATTTAAGGTTTGCTGCAATAAGCTGTAAAATTGACCCAGGTTTCAGAAATCATGACATTCTGTTACGGACGCCCATGTTCCCAATCTTTGTATTAGAGCAAGATCAATATAGAATTTTATATTTTATATATATATATATATGTAATCACTCAACCATTAAAAGCACAGTTCAGAACATCATAAGATAACCTTGGAATGAATGGGTGCTGAAACACTGTAGTGTTGCAGGTGTTTCAAGATTATGCACAAATACATGGGTGTGATTATGATTTATGTCTTCAGCAGTGATAACATTAAATGAAAAATGATCTTCGACCAATAAATAAGTAGAGAAAAATCCACAGCCATTAATTTGCCAGTCTGATGGATTTCCCATTGAGTCAGAGCATGTTCCAATTGAATTTCATAGTGTGTAGGGAGTGTTTAAACAAAATTTGGATTAGATTGGATGTAGGAGGATTTAAAGACATTAAAATGACACTTAAATTAGAAAATTCTCAAGAGTGAAAAATAATTTGAAGTCAGTGAGATGTGAAAAGTTTCATGGCTTTGAGCGCTTGCAATCAGTTTTAATGCATCTTTGGTAAATAGTGTTTTAGTAAGAGGATCTTTGAATACAACCTACTGGAGCTGTAACTGTGTCTTCTCTTTATGAAGTTGTCCTCTCAGTGGATTAAACAAATGATGCTGACTCTGCAAATCAGTGTCTTGCTGTCAAATATTTGAATACTTTCCTGTTCTAGCAGCTGTCCACTCTTCACCAAGAAGACTCTGAGAGTGTCATTTTCTTTCTTCTCCACAGCAAACACATTATGGATGCAGAACCAAAGACTTGTGAAATATTGCGTGACAACGTTGAATAGATTAATTTGTCCCTGAATTTGACAGTCCTGTTTTTCCTCTAACATAATGATGGATGAGGCAGTGTAGAACTATGCACAATATACAAAGCAAACAGCATGCTGTCAAAGTCTGCTCTGTGTTCATCACAGGCATTTCATACCCATCCATCCATTTTATTACCCACTTATTCATCTTCGGGGTCATTTTGACAACTATTTCTTTTTTCCTCATATTTTTTTTCTTTATATTTTCTTGTAAGCAACCGTGTGGAATTTATTTTGTATGCCAGGATGCATTGTAAATAATGCTAAATATATCACACACTGTAATTCATGAATAAAATATAAAGCATGAATATCTTACAAATATTATTATGTTTAAAGTCAGAGACATTTGGCACTGACACCGTGTTGTTTTTTTGTTTATGCACTTGCACTCACACACCTAAGCTGACTTGTAATATAATCAGTATGCCAGTTTCTTTTCATTCTGATATTATCACCAATCAATTAAAATAACCTTGTTGCAAATAACAGAATCAATACAATCCAGCTAATTGATATTGTTTCCATCTTTAGGGGCCTCAGTTTTCTTTTTCTAGACCAGCAGTTATTTTTTGTTTCATACTAAGGAGTGATAAGTGAAAGATTAATACATTACTTTTGTTGTTTTACATGGGCTCATAAAGTACATACAATATTCTACTGACAGTATGTCACAAATGAACTAAATATACTTCAGAGTGTAGTTAATTTCAAAGTAATGGGTCGAAGTATTGATGTCCACTACACTTATACTCCACACGTATGAGCACTATGCATGTATGATAAAAAAAAATAAAATGAACATTGTAAACAATGCCAAAAGTATATTATTAAAAATCTAAATTGTAAACTGTGGATAAAAATTAGGATGTGGAAAACTACATAAAAAATTAAATGTTGGTAGTTGAGAAAGAGCTGCATGAAGTTCCATTACATCATAAACACAAAAGCATTCCAGGATATTATATACTAAATGTTAGATAAATCTTTTTCTTATACAACAGAGGCAACTTATTTCGACAACATTAGCTGTTATAATGTGTTTGCATAGCTTTGCTTTAAAAAATCCAAATGTAACTAAGGATCATTCAGTTAGAACATTAACATCTGTGTGTTATGTATAGAAAATGCTGTGCTTTCACAGGAATGTTTAATGCTGACGGTGCAATCGCCGACTCGCTGCCGCCACAGTTTTTTTTCTGTAGTATCCCTTCTAATGAGGATGTCCCCTGTCTGTGCAATCAGTGCAATCCTTGATGCATTCTGTCATCAATTATTTCGATAAAATTTGTCAAAGACTGAAGTCGACACAACCTGGCACGCACATATTCATATAGAGCGTGTGGGGGCGTTCCTGATACAGACAGACAGGCATGTTTGAAGTGGAGGCAAGTGGTCATAAACTATGCACGCGCAGCGAATCTCAAGCGGTTTGATTAGAATCAAAAATTAATCTGATAAAGTAGCTGAGCTGGACTTCAATGAGTGGCGGGCTGTTTGGCAGGCAGTCTGCGTGGATGGAAAGCTCTGACACAGTCAACTTAGCATCAGATTAGATGCCTCTTTACAGTCTTTTGCTGCAGTAAGAGTACCAAGATATTATTATTTCACATTCTTTGCCACAACCTAGTCAACAACCGCGTATTGCTATCCTACAATGATGTACTATTGAGACCATGAATAGAATATCTCAAACTTGGAGATTTTGCAGCAAAAACATGAATATTTCATACAACAAGTCGAAAGCTTTTTCAAGCATTTTCTCATATATGGTCTCCCCTTGTTTTCACAGAGATCATCTACAGCTGGGTGTTTAATGAGTTCCCCTCCTTCGTCGCTGAGGACAGTCGGCGCTTCATCTCCCAGGACACGGGGAACCTGTACATCTCCAAGGTGCAGCCCTCCGACGTAGGGAGCTACATTTGCCTGGTGAAGAACACCGTGACAAATGCACGAGTTCTGAGCCCTCCAACACCTTTGACGCTGAAAACCGATGGTGAGGCTCTCAGATTTACGGCACCTCTCACACATGTCGGGCCCTGATTTGTATGAATGCCCTATGAAGACAACTCTGAAAGTTCATCTGAAAGTTTCAAAATGTTTTTGTTACACTGCTTCCTATCGCTGCACTTGTTTAGCACACATGGAAATCTAAAAGCATATTTTATATTCTACATGGGGCATTTCAATTGTATCCTAATGCATTTGGCAGAATAAAAAAATTCAGATCAGATAGGTTAATAAAAGCGGAGCGGTCCTCTGCTTTCCAGTGAGCCTTGTGTTAGCGGAGGGCGTTATGAATTCCATACACACTGTAAATAGATGGCCAGCATTGCTTTAACATTAGTGTGGGGAGCCCTCTTCCCTCACATTGTGCTTTGGTGAAACTGGCCATCAGGGAAATCATTTTCCAGCATAAAATTAACTGAATCAATGGCCCTTGCTGTGGATGGGATTCCGCTCTTTTATACTAGCCTCTCAGGAGCCGTGCTGTGGAGCCGTTTGTTGGATTCAGGTGTGGATTTCACCTACAGGCTCTTTGCTTCTGACTACACAGAGAAATGCCCGTCACTCCAGTCAGGTGCCTGTCATTGTCAGCATTACAAAGAGCCACAGAGATTACATCCCCAGTGAAGCCGTGAAAAGGGGCCTCTGTGCCTCCGAACCAGGTTTGCTCCAAATGTTGCAACAGGAATTCACATCTTACAGTTTACATCCCTTCCAGCGAGATTCCTGCTCTGTATTTGCATAACTCTGTATAAAAAGGCCCACAGAGACCCACATAACACTTAGCACATAACCATGCTTAATTGGTTTGTCTCTCGTTAACCAAGATACAAAATATGGACAGGAGGGCGTTTGGTCAATCTGCTTTGAGCGTTTTATTATCTCCAAGGAGGTTATGTTTTTGTTTATTTGTCTGTTAGTTAGTAGGATTACACAAAAAAGCTGCTGGCTGGATTAGCATGCAACCTGGAAGAAGAATGCTCTTAGGGTCGGGAAACAAACCAATGTATTATGATGTGATCAGGGGCAGATCCAGGGACTTTTAACATTGTGAGATATGGCATTTGTACTGATTTCATAGAGACTAATTCATGGATCTTGATGTAAAGGGGACTGATATCAATGACTTTGTCCAATTTGTTTTGTCACCAAATAATAATCCTAGTCTAGTGGATTTAAATGTGGTTTCATGAAGTAAGTGTTGGGCCCTGTGCCATGCTAGTTATTATATGTTTTGATAACAGATTTTCGTTGGAGAGGAATTGATTTAGCTAATCCATTTTGTGACATGTGGCTGTATGTGATGCATGTGCGGAGGACATTACTCTCACCTGCAACCCAACACACCCAATCAAATCTGTACAGCTGTAACCCAGAGAACATCTTGGCACCTCCTGCTCTGCAAATCTCATGACGCTCAGCAGCCTTCTATTGTTGTTGGGGCTAAAATGTCTGGCACACCTCACAGCAGACGCACAAATGTTCTGGCGCTGCATGCACCCCTCAGTGTTTGGAGTCCGACCAATCAGAGCGCAATCTGGGCCTCAGTAAAAGTGGGTAATCATTATATGGTAGACGGTTCAAGCTGGAACTGTGTGGAACTCGCCACTGTCTCTCAGCTCCGGCCCCGCTCTTAATCAAAACAAGCATCTGGGCTCCATTATACCATGCTGGGGGCCATTGATCGTCACTTTGCAATCCACCTTGAGCAGAGCAGAGCGAGACTGGAGTCCTTAATGATGCACTGTTTTTTAACAGATGTACAATTTAACTCACCCTCCCTTTGATTTTTCACTTTGCTGTAATAGAAGCAAAGGCATCATATTACTGCAGATGGCCGTACCTTAATTTTGTTGTTTTTTCCATCATCTGTTGTTTATATTTCGCAGTTGTCTATCAGTTCTAATAACATTGGAACACCTACTTAATGAGGTTTTACATTCTACACCCTGGTCCTACCATGCAGGAGTGGACTACCATATGTACTATATTTATGTGAGGATACAGTTTTGTTCATAGTGAGCATATATCAAATATAGATCATTGCAACATTGCCACTATGTATGATTATCTATTTAATATCAGCATGATGCTTGCTTTGATCAATGTGATTTGAGAACTCGTGAGCAGCAGCAGTAACACAAAGAGATTTAAAAGACGACTTTCTTTTTTATAATTTGTGTTTAGTAGGAAAAAAAATGCATTGAGAAATCTTTTTTTTTTTTGGTCTATTTACTTGTTCTAGTGCACATTTTTGTAAAAATGTGTGCATGTGTGTGACTTTCTGTGAAGAGTGTGTAGCCTTGTGGGAGAAAAGAGGAGATTGAGTTTAGAGGGATGGAGGGATTTTGTGGAGCCCGGTGGAAATTAGAGCTCTCCATCTCTGTCCTCAGGTCACGCTTCGTGTGTAGCTTCACATGTGATTGTGTGTGCGTGTATATGTGTGTGTTGTATGGGGTTACTGCAGGAATAAAGAGAGACATATCAGAAACCATTCACTTAAAATATCGTCACCAAGTGTTAACATACCTGTTTGTGTCAACTCCACTTTGTGCGTGTGATAAATATCAGGTAGAAAAAGTCACAGGAAGACAAAAGCTAAAGACGCTGTGACCTTTGACCACTGAAATTGAACCAGTTCATCAAAATGTAATTCTCTGATTTGAAGAAATTCCCACAAGGAAATCTTCTTGAGATTTTGTGTTGTAGATGTTTCACCATTTATATTTTTTCAAATCACGTTTGGATTGTGTTGGCATATTTGCACACCCACCTACACCTGCCACCTGCACCCATTGGACAGTACTAGCTGTCAGTCACACTGTGCAAAAGAAAATAAGCTCAAGAGCTCTGATGCCAGGTGTGCACCTCTAGAGATCGAGTGAGCAGCTCTGGAGGCAAACCAACACCAGGAGCTGGCTCAGGCTGAGGCAACCTGGAGGCTCTGGAAGAGGACAATGTGACTCTGAAGGGGCTGGCGAACCTTTTGAAATGTGAACAGAGCAGGGTTGAGCTTGTGGTGATGGAGATTGAGGAAAGGTGATTGACTCCATGGCTGAGGAGATTCAAACCAACCAGCTGTGAGAGCAGCAATTTCTTTTGGTGATAGAATTAGTCTTAATGCTGTGAATCAGTGGTGGAAATATGACCCTCCTAAGTGGGTTTGTTGGAAGTTATCACGGTGGTAGATCTCGGCTTATGTTTGGAATTAAAAAGTGATCTTGGACTTGAAATGGTTGGCGACCACTGTACCGAATCAGCTGTGTTGAAGAAGATGTGTAACTAGAGCTTGAGACATAAAAGACGTTAATTCCAGCCAGGATTCCTCCTTGCCCTCGACTGTCCACCGCAGGTTGTAGTGCCAAACCTTTACCTCCGTTCGACCTGTTCTCCTGCTCCCTCCGCTCCCTCTCTTGCTTTCTTACGTGCTGCCTCCTCAGCTGGCGCCTCAGCCCCGATCACTTTGTTGTATGGAAAGAGAAGCCTCACAAGAAGCTGCCTTTCTCTACAGGCTACACGGAGTTTCTTCATTGGCCAAGACAAGGAGGGCAATTATTTATTGTAAAATTATTTTAAATGTACTTCTCAGTGAAAGTATTCCCTAAAACTGATTGACAGGTACTTTAATACATTAAGCAACATTATACAGGAGTTATCACATTTATAAATAGGTTCTTTACATCAGTGATGTTGGTAAATACACAAGTCAAACACACACACTGTGAATTATCCATCTGCAACTAAAACTGTTCTATATAGGAGAAAATTCATGTCAACACATGTCTTCACATTGCTTTTACTTAGAGAAAAGTGGTGGAGGTTACAGTGGCACTGCAGCACCACTGGTGTTGTTGCCGAAATACATTTTCCCTCTCAACACTGACACCAGTTTGAGTAAAACATAATATTTGTAGGCACATGTCATCTCCACATGGCCATGTTTGCTGGTACTTCCCGGTAAATTATTATTGACAACCGTAGGCCCACAGCCATATTGGATGTCAGCTTGATTTTTTTGCCAAGCCACATATTTTTAGTGGTGCAGTCAAAACAACTCATCCTGCGTTATCTTCAATATACACATTCTGCTTTCAACTATCATACACATATTATTCTGTAAACAGCAACACACTGAATCTTTCCAGGCTAATGGGATTGTTCCTTTTAGTGTTGAAACAAATTGCAGAGTATGTTATATATGTTGTGATAATAAGTGACATGCAGCAGTTTCTTCTTTTTGTTGTTTCTTCTGCCTCTGTGTTAATCTGCTGTTTCATCCTCAAGACAAAATGTTTTTAAAAACGATATCATCAAACGTATTCAACGTTAAAGTACCAGAGCTTGTCTCCTACATTTCAAATTGTTCTGTTTATCATGCTCTGTGCATTAAACACTGCTGAACCGCTGATGCAGTACAGATGCAGAATCAGTAGTTTCTCAATGAAGACATCGAGGTTTGACAATCTAGTCACTCTTAGCGTGCAGGGATCCATCCAGCTGTCCAGGACTGAACCAATTGAAATATATGGAGATGAAGGAAGTTAAGGGAACATTTGATGCAATTATTGAACAATATAAAAAATTTAATTTAAATATGAATTTATTGAATTCAGTTTGGATACGAATAATAAAAAAATAAAAAATAAAAACATATAGATCTATAAAGAATGTTTTTGTCTTTATTTCATATTTTTTTACAGTCCATTAGTGCCTGTGACAGGCATGGGAACTTCAAACACTCATCTATTCCAGGATCAGAGAGCTGATAAAACAGATAAAGCACTTCTATGCTCTCTATGCTATTAGCCTGGAACCCTGATAAAATTTAGGACGGGCATCATGCTTGGAAATTGCTTCGCAGAAGAACAAAGCACAAAAGAAAAATGTAATTTCCATTTGATTAATAAATAAAGTTGAAACATAAATTATAATGCTACATCAGAAATGAGGGTCAGTAATGTTTTAGCACACCAGGCCTGCACATTATTTATTTCACTTCTTTCCAGTCCAGTCACTGAGGCTGAATATAATATTGAATGTACTGTGGCATGAGCCAATGAAATATTGAAAATTCATTATATGTGAAGGGCTGCTTTGGAGCCATAAATGTTGTGAATGAGATTGAAATTGAAAAGTTCTTTGGTACAAATATCGTAAAAGTCCTTTTCTATACATCGTGCACCACAGTTCAACAACCTCGCTGCTTTTTTGCTGCACCCATTTTATCACATTAAAAGTGTCAGGTACACGTGGGAGGTGTAATTACGGTTTCTAAAATGCAGTGACAGTCATTTGTCTCACTGATTATGTTCATCACAGCACATCTGTAGGAGCACTCCATATGCACTCATACACTTTCCTGTGAACTTAGGCAGCTGCTGGGGTGGGTGGTGCATCTATCAGTGGCATTCACTTGCGATGATTGTGTTTGTATATAACATTACGTGGTAAAGAGAAGGAACGCTCATGTAATATTCATATCGCAAAGCTGCTGCTTAATAAGACAGATAATAGTAGTGAGATCCCAGGTGAAGGGGCTTTCCTTCACTCCTTCAAATTTGCTCATTGTCATCTGACGTGTCATTCCGGCAAATGGTTATAAATGGCCACCTTAACGTACAGATGAATAAACAAAGAAAACGTATCCTCTGGCTGTGAGAGTGGAGGTGTAAGTCTCGGTGGCACTTAGCAAGTATGATAAAAAAATGTTTGTATCCTTCATAACGTGTTTGGGAATTGTGGAGTGGTTTACTAATTCTTGAGGACACAGCGTCTCAATGTTGTCACCAGAGAGCATTTTAGTGCATCGAAAACTAAGATGTTGCATAAACAAATCTCTGTGTGTCTAACACTTAAAGGTCCAGTGTGTATGATTTAGGTGAAAGGGAACTATTGGCAGAAATTTAATGTAAATTAATCCTCATGATGTTTTCACTAATTCATTTCATCTAAATTATATGAATTGTATTTTTCTTTACCCCAGAAAAGGCCCTTTATATTTAAATACTTTATATTTACATCGAGGGGACCCTCTCTACGGAGGCCGCCATGTTTTTTACATTAGTCCAGACTGAACAAACTAAACACCTTTTGAGTTTTTATGACAACTGAAGCTACCACAGGTTCTTAGGAGAGGGTGAGGTGAGGGGTGTTTAGCTGCAACATGCAACTTCAACACTAGATATCACAAAATTCTACACACTGTACCTTTAAATCCAGGTTTTTGTGTTTCTTTTTCAAAACTAGGATTATTCAGTCGCATGCTATGTATTTGATCCACACTGTCACTTGCCCCATTAATTAACTGTGTGTAAAGTTATGGTGGATAGTGGAGCAATGTGCCAGATGGTGTGCATAATGTGCAGCCCCACACCTGTACACTGCATTATTTAATGTACTGTGTGTACTTTCAGAGGTATAAATGTGAGGAATCCTCAAGATCCGCTGCTCTGTTTTTCCTCAGTTGTTGCTTACATATGATACAATACAGAAAAAGAATAAAAGGCAGTAGAAAGTGGACATTGCCTTTATTTTTAAATAACGCTGTCTCTGTGTAGCACACTGCAAGAAAAGATGAGGATAATGGGAAATGGGCGAGTGGGTGAGTGGCTGTTTCAATCTGCCTCCTTCTAATGTCTGCAATTCCTCTTTCTTAACCTTTTCCAGGTGTCATGGGTGAATATGAGCCCAAAATTGAAGTGCATTTCCCTACGTCTGTCCTCGCTGCCAAAGGAGTCACTGTCAGGCTGGAATGCTTTGCTCTGGGGAAGTAAGTAAACAACAGCATATTGCACAAATACAGGTAGCTGTTTATTACAGCAATATAAAATTAATCACCAGGCACAATAAACCGCAGCCTATCACCGCTCTGTTGCTGAAAGATCCTTGAGATAATACTCCCTGTGTTTTTGTCTCTTGTTTAAATTAGATTATCCCAGTACCTGAGTGGGAACCAGGCATATCTTGTCCTCAGGCGGGATGTTAAGTGAGTGTAGAGAAGTGCAGCATCGTGGCTCAGCTGTTAGATGACATGTTAGTGCATGGAGGGGGAAGACTCGATGGGGAATTCTGCCCTGGGGGCCCATGTGTTCTCGTAATTGAGAGCCCTAATGTATCAGTGTTTCCTGGGTGCTTCCAGGGCCTGTTATGAATGTAGAAAGCCAAGGTTATGTCTGTGGAAAAAAAATGAAAACAGGACAAGTTGTCTGCCAGGAGGGACGATGCTTTTGTCCACAGAGACTAAAACCCAAAGCACTTACCACTGCAGCTAAAGTCAGCATCGCTGGCTTCGTGCTGTACGAAGCTGTTTCACATTAAAATATGTTTGACGAATAATTTAAGATAAAGTTCAGCTTGACTTGACCAAAAAATGAAGTCCCCAATGTTTTTAACAGTTGAATATCTTTGATGTGTTTTGAATTTGACATTTTCACTCTTTTCGTGTTAAAAACACAGTTGAAGTGGTGTTTGACATTAGAGTAAGAACATTTCATAACAAACCACATAGTCATGTATCATCCTTTCTCCATTCTGTTTATAATTGTTCAGCATGAATTATTCAACGCTGACTCCTATCTTAAGTGCAAACAGCCTCTAATCTAGAGATGAGTAAGGGCCTCATAATTGTTTACCTTCATTTCAATTAATTATCCACATTATGGTTAGTCATTCCTAAATATATAGACACGGCATTCTAATCTCACACTCCTTGGTTTTCTTATGAAGCTGAGATGAACTTTTTAAATAAATGTGGAACAGCCAAACAGCTTTAGTTTTTTTTGCTCCTGTGATTCTCTCAATGAAGTCATTTGTGGCTGATGGCTTCAGTCAGACAGTGACTTACCCTCATACGTAGAGATGAATGATTTATCAGTGCACCCTATTAAGAAACGCCAGTCTTTATATAGCTGTGGAAATGAAGTTAAAATAGGTTTTGTTCTCCTGTTGATCAATATGTATGATGGCGCGGTGAGCTCAGCCGGGGCAGAGAAGCTCTTTGTGCGTGAATGCCAGAGCTCCTTGATGTGATTTTCTCTCCTGATATTTGCCAGTGACAGTACTTTGTAGGCCACAGTCAAGGGCAAAGAGAACAATGAGACGATGAAAATGAAAGAGAGACCCATAAAAACACAATCCTCCTTAGATTTAATGAGTTTTGAATTTTACAATTGTAATGTTATTTTTAGTAATGCCTGCAAGAGTGATTAGTAATCACCATTTTGTAGCTGCTGGGTATGGTAACAACTGTTTACTGTTGTTGACCAGACCACCGCTGTGCTTGTTTTGAGTTATTTCATATAAATGAAACATATAAATACAGACAAATAAATTGTTAATTCTTTCCTAAGGGGCTTATCACATATTTTACATGAACAGTATTCCAAAAAGAAATTCTGCAGCGAGGTTAATTTGTCATTTTCCTGCGTGACATGTGATCTGTTTGTTGACATTGACTAAAGTTGCTTTCTAACCAACTAAAGACCCAACATTATGTTGGCTGAGATGTCTCACAAAAACACGAATTCAAAAGCCACAACACAACAGCAAAAGGTCACAGTATTAATTCAAAAACCACAACGCAACTGCAACACAAATGCAAAAGCCAGCATTTGTGTTAAAACCTCTTTTTGTAGTCAACATCCATTGTAGCTGTTGGTTTCATCTTGTGTGGCTTTTGCAGTTTTTTTCCGTTGATGTGATGAGTGTGAGAAGTCTCACAACATTCCTCTTCAATTCCATCAAATTGCAATCAAACAGACAACTCACAGTTTGAGTGTAGCACCCTATACGTGAAATGAAACAATCCTGGATCCACACCTTGGTCTGAATTCGTGTCCCATCCTTCCACCAAGTTTCATGGAAACTGATTCTGTAGTTTTTGCGTAATGCTGTCTTCAAACACGTCAACCAACAAACAACCCGACAGGGTGAAAACATGAGTAATTAACTCATTTTTCAGGGCAGTCAGTGTTGCAAACCAAACATGTCACTGCTCACTGTCATCATCTCAACCACCAGTTTGCTGGTTTGTTTGACATCCAGCATATAGTCAATGTTTTCTGTTGCAAGATTCACATTAGCTTCTATCACAGCCTCAGGCTTGTAGCTTCTAGCTGTTTAACAGAGAAGTTCAGTATGCACATATCTCATCTCCTTTTTCTTCCAGTTAATGCAAAGCAGTTATAAGGATAGTTAAGCTGAGTGAATATAGCACCATATTGATGATGGTATATGCTACTTGCAAATTTCCAAACAATCCAAATTCAATTTAAAACCATGGCTGCACAGTGTGATTTATATGAAGCAGTGGAAAGTGCAGTGTTGTTAGCTGCATTCATTTCAAAGGATATTGGAGTTTGAAGTTCACTGTAGTTCAAAAGCCTTGTACGTTTGATGGGTTACACATTCTCCCACTCGTTTCCACTTAAAATATAATATGTGGCATGTGGTGTATGCTTTCATCCAAATTGCCTCAGTGTAGTGGATATACTTTTAGTTACTGTGACCCCAGAGGGAATCAAACTCTCGAAACCCTTACATTTTCCTCTTTGAGCTGCACAGGACCACAAGGACCACACTGTCAGCGGCAACAGAGAGTGCCTCTTAATGACAGCACATTTTCATTCCAGTGCGGTTAATGTCTTTGAAAGACAGTTGTTTTGCTCAGATCGTACGGGTAAAAAGTGGCTTTGTGTTTCAGGTAGGTTCCCTTTCGAACAGCATAGAATTTCCTGAAGGGACCAAGAAATCCAGAGCTTAGCAAATGAGCTAAATCCTGGGATAATATTTAGATCTTAATGAGCTAAAGTGAACCAATTCTCCTGTATATTCTTAGTATTAGATTTAATTCCTAACATTTACTATGGAACTAGTCTTGATGAGGGCACAGCAATTGTGTGGAATGTTAATTAAGATGAAAGCTACAGAGCTTGCCTATAGGTACGTTCTCAAATTGAAAACGGTTGCACTTAAACTGTAGTGTGCAACACATTCACAATAAAGAAGGGATATAATACTCACTTTGGGCCAATTCTGGAAAATCAACCTTGCAGAGCTTTGTAGCTTTTATATCTGTAAAGATTCTCAGTCGTCTTCAGAAGTTTTACAAATGAATGTAGACATTTGGACCTGCTTGTGTTTCTTGAAGAGATTTCACCTCCTATAATAAATAGACTAAGCGACTAAGATGTCTTCTTTCACTCTTTAGTCGTTTTTACCGACTGTTTCATGCAGAACACACTGACGGGCAGAGTTTCTTGTTTCCTAACTGAATGAGTCTATTCTCTGCCGCCCGCCCCCACTCCTGTGAACACATACAGCTCATTACTCTGCCTCCAAAGGGAAAACTTGCCATAGACTCAGGAAGATTCAACCCGATGTTCCAGTCATTCAAGATCCCTAAAGACTCGCTATGTTCTCTGGCTTATCAGAAGTTTAGTCAGAGCCAAAGGTCTCAGAAAACTTCTTCTTCACATATAAGGAAGTTTATCATAACAACTGCATGTTATATTCAGGGGTACTGATTCAATCTCTCTGACTCTTTATTAGAATTTAATTTATTTGTTATAATAGTCCACAGAGGCATTAAATTGAAAATGTCAACTACTAAAAAATGGCCCCACCAGATATTCAATTTGACCTGCGATTTTGCCCGTCATAACCACAAAACGTCTATTGTTATTTTATATCATCAATGTAGGACATACTGTACTTTTGCCAAGGCATTACTCTTAAATTTAATCAAGCTGTACCAAATTGCACACACTCAAAGATATCAGGTCCCTAAATATGCCTAATTTTTCTTTTCTTCAAGATCCATTAATTATTATGTATGAAAATGTGAAAATGCTATCTCACAATATTGAAGGAAGTTGAAAAGAGAAAATCCTCGATGCGCCCCTTTGTCCACATCAGTGCCAAAATGTAAAGACTTATTTCTTGGCCCATGTCCCATCCTTCCACCACGTTTCATGGAAATCCTTTGTGTAGTTTTTGCATAATCCTCCTGACAAAGAAACAGACAGGGGGTGAGGACATCATCTTCTTAGAGCAGGTAATTACTGTAAAAATAGGTAAAATTACATTTATTCCTTTTTGTCAGGGATTAACTTGACTTCATGATACATTAATATCAAATGTAAAAAACTCACCTTTCCATGTTTTTGTCATTGTACATCGTAATATATCTTGTATTAAGGAACTAAATTAAACATTAAAAAATGAATACATTAATTAAAACATTAATCAAAACTTTTTCTCAAGACAAACTGACAGAACTTTGTCCCTGAATCTTTGTGCAGAAAGTTTAGGCTCCACTAACTAAAATGTATTTGAATCTACTGACTATTATTCATTATTTTGCTTCACACTCTCAGTGATGTGAGGAAGCCTAAATGTGTGCTGTAAGGTAATGAGCCAGCAATTCAAAAGTACAAAGTGAAAGGAAAAAAAATTTAAACCATTAGTCTACAAAAAAGGAAAGAATGTGACATAAAACTCCTTTCAAAAATGAAAAAGAATAACACTTTGTTTAATATAAAACATGCTCTGAATCCTAATTTGAGCTCATTGCCGCCAAGAGCGCTTCGATGTCATAGTGAATTTGCAACAGATCAAAAAGCTCAGGGATGTAACGTTTCCATCCCGGCTAAATGATTGATGGGTTCACTGGAGGTTTGTAGGTTGTCAGACTTCCATCTCTCAGAGACACGTCTATTCTAGTTGTCATACAAGAGAGCACCACTGATAGCGAGCTCATAGTCAGCCGTTCTCGCCGTGCGTGCAAGTCATCTATCATAAGAGCCTATAGGGCAACCCGTGAATAAACAAGGATAGATGACAGCGCTCACACACTAATCATAAAAAACTGGAATATTGTCTCTGTCCCTCTGAGACCTGGCGTCTATTGCGAGGGTCATTTGGTACAGTAAATATATCATGAGTGATCAAAAGGTTAATGACTCACATGTGGAGCAGAACCAATATTAAATAGGTGTCATCGTGTGTCAGTAGTTAAACTCAAGATAAGGGCTTCTGGGATCTGATGATTTTCAAATCTCTCATTGTTTATTGATTTGATTATTATTCTTTTAATTAATAATGCAGACATTAATGCCCACAACGATTTCCACAAGCTCATTCGCTTCTTTTCTTTTCTATGAACTGTCCAAAGCTCAGCTAACTTGATTTCTGAATAATACATTCATGCAGTAATTGTGAGTTTAACATCTAAGACGTACTAGGGTTGTAAAAGCTCAGAAATATCAATGATTCAAATTCTTCTCCTGCAGAAATAGCTGGAAAGAATCTATCAAGGTTATCTTTTTGATTGTCTGTCTGATATTTCCAAAGAAATCTCAGTCTGTCTGTGCCTCTTGTATCTCGAGAATTGTTCATGTTATTGGACTCAAACGTGCCAAGTGCTGTTTAGGGCCCAAGGAAGTGCAGGGAGGAATTTTGTGTATTTTGGACTTGTGATGCGATGAATATTAATAAACTTTGACAAGGTGACCAGCTCTCTGTAGCATAGGCTGCATGGGACTCATCAATGTGAGTGACCTTGTCGATCATGACAACAGCACGTTCACGACAATGGAAAAGACAACTAATTCTCCAGCTCAGGATGGACAAACTTCATCGAACTATAAATAACTATATTCACTATCAATATCAAAAATATAACTTCAAATATGTCATTGTAAGTCACTTTAAAAGGTCATTATCATTACAGGTTAATGTTCTTACTTTAAAAAAAACAAAAGAAACATATTTTGCCATCACCTCTGAAACACATCATCATTGCAGCTCACAGCACATCTTTTCTCCCAGACTCTATCACTGACTCTGTATATATCTTGCTGCTCTCCCCTCGCAGTCCAGTGCCAACAATCACATGGAGGAAGATAAATGGCAACATCCCCAAGAAGGCGAGGCTTCGGAAGTCACAGGCTGTGCTGGAGATCCCCAACATTCAACTGGACGACTCGGGAACATACGAGTGCAAAGCTGAGAATCCAAGAGGAGGCACGTCGTTCAAAGGACAGCTGCAGGTCTACAGTGAGTCTGAGCACATTCTTATTCCTGGGATCTCTTATTAAAATTCAAACAATATGCATTGTTAGAATGTGTTGTGTTCCAGGCGGCACAGTGGTGCTAGTAGTTCAAACTACTGTTGAATTTTTGATGAGCTGTTTTATACGCATAGTTTCCTGCAGATTTTTAATGATGGCCGTGAATTTTCTGACCAGCCCTTGGACTAATCACACAACCATCAGAAATAATCCAATGACAAGTGTCCCTCATTCTCTCTTGAACAACATCATTTAAACTGTGAGGCTGTTTGTTTTCAGTCCAAAAGGTTCTAAAATCATTCTCTTTTAAATTGTAACTTAGCATAATGTAATGGTTTTCTGTAAAAAAAAAAAATCTGGTAGTTTCACTCTTCCAAATGTTTTTCCCTGGATTCGCTGAGTTTGTTGATTTTTATTGTTTTCTTTTTAAACCTTTAAACATAAAATAATCTGATGTGTATACTCTCTGCTTAAATCTAATGCAGGTATATATGATAATAATGAACTTGAAAAAATAAGATTATACTTGTGCAGTTACCCACAACAATATAGTGCATCATTAAAGTGTTTTTAGGTCAAAGACACTCAGGATGTTGCCTGTCAGTTTCACAGTTTCAAGGAAAGTATGGCTGTAATTTATTTCACCAAACTAAGTTTCATCACCACAAATATCTAAAAAAAGAACGTTCGTCTTTGATCAGTAAACAATCTAGCTCATGTTAGGTACCTGTAAGCTTTTCAAATTTCTGCCTCTGCCTGTGATCGTAAACGTATCTACGAGGGTGCCAAGACTCCCTTGGCCTTGGTAGGACACATTTCCAAGGCCATACACTTCTTACCAACCCCCATTCTGTGGCCATCACAAGGAGAATAGAGAGTTTTGATATGTAGCAGCCTCATTCTAAATGTAATTTACACAGGTAAGCTGGTTGTTTGAACTTTCAATGTGACGGAGCCTTTCCTGACCATAACCAATTAATTAAATCACACTTCCAAATAATTTGTCTGCATCTGGCAAAGTGATATAAGACACATTCATGTGGACAAAATCATTTCTCTAGTTTTATAGTGTAAAGATTACAGAAATCTACATGGAGGTTTACAGTAATGTGGACAAACAGAAATCCCCTGTATGATCTCTGTTGGTCAAAACTAAATCACATATTGGTGGTTACATTTACAGAGGTGATGTAACGTGTAAGAATCTAATTTACTGTAAGAGTAATTATAGCAAAAATAAAGGAGAAGAAAAATTAAAAAAGGTTGACAGTGATTGACACAAGACTCACAGGGATCAAGTCCCAGTAAAACCACCCTTTAAAGTCTTTATTTTTGAGAATGTACAACAAATTACTGTAAATATACACAAACTCAGATAATACTCAGTATAGACAAAATAAACTGCAAAATAGAGAGGAGGTATACAGCCTATATACAGTGTTTCTAACTGAAGGGGTGACAGATATTCTCAATAGCATGTGGAGTTGGACAGGAACTCACATTGCAGCTTAGAAATGCTATGGAAACAAGAAAAAGAAAAGAGAAGCAAAGAAAAGAACAGAAAAAAAGAAGCTTAATGGTTAAGGGGCCCCCAGGAGAAGGCAGTGGAGGGAGAGAAAACAACGTGTTCACAACATGACTCACTTGGACAGAGGAGAGGAGGGGAGGGGGGAGGAGGGGAGGGGAGAGGATGAGGAGGGGAGAGGATGTGGAGAGGTGAGGAGGGGAGAGGCGGAGAGGAGAGGAGGAGGAGAGGAGGGGAGAGGATGGGGAGAGGAGAGGAGGAGAGGAGAGGAGGAGGAGAGGAGGAGGAGGGGAGAGGAGGAGAGGAGAGGAMGGGGAGAGGAGAGGAGAGGAGGAGAGGAGGGGATGAGGAGAGGAGAGGAGAGGAGGAGAGGATAAGAGGATGAGGAGAGGAGGGGAGAGGAGGAGAGGATGAGGAGAGGAGGGGAGAGGAGGAGAGGAGGAGGAGAGGAGGGGAGAGGAGGAGAGGATGAGGAGAGGAGAGGATGAGGAGAGGAGGGGAGAGGAGAGGATGAGGAGAGGAGAGGAGGAGAGGATGAGTAGAGGAGGGGAGAGGAAGGTGAGGTTTCGTCATTTTGACAACAGTGCAACTCCGGGTCCCTTCAGTGAAAATCCCTGCTGTATTTTCTATGTACAAACAAAACCTCTCAGAAGTTGCTTTGATCAAAAGCTTGTGTTGGTTGGATTCTGTTTGTTTGGTCGGTGGAACATTATCTTAACTGGAGGTTTGTATTTCTACCACAAAAATGACAGATTGAACATTTAAACCACTGCACCACAGCTCTTACCGGTCCAGAAACATTGGGAATCCAACCTCACACTTGTGTAGGCAGGACTCACAAGTGTTTTGTATCAATAGATGATGGTCTGGAGAAAAATATTATCGTGACAATTTTCTTCATATCAGTCGATGTCAACATCACAATCTTTTTATCGGATATATGAAATTATTTGATATCCTTACAGAAAACAAGTTTTTCCAATTTAAGCCTGGTCAAAGAAAGTTTCTTTGCTGAAAACAATGCTTCGTCCTTATCCTGGATATGTTGTGCATCATTTAAGACATTCCTCTTCTGTTAATGTCCACTGGACCGGTGAACCAGCACCTCATTAGAATTGATATTTCTTTCTTCGGAATGAAAGGCCAGAGAAAAAGAACATGTCTTATTACTGGAAATACAGTTTTTGTGATTTTGAAGTTTTCCAGGGGGCAGAAATACAGAAGGGGGTGAATGTTGTTGTCAGGATTCAATGATTTCAATTGAAATCAAAAGACTGAAACCAAACACTTAAAAAGAAAAATACACAAAAGGTGCTGAAGTTGATTTTAAAAATGAATCATTTAAACATGCATGCTTCTTTTAACCCCTGTGGCATTAAGGGATTAGAGAAAAACAGGTTTTGTATATTTCACTGTCACTAATACAAGCTCTGACATTGTGTGTTGATAATACATTTATATATGTATCCTGAATACTATATCCACTCTGCCTTGTGTGTTTTTCAAGGATGTAATATTGTATGTAATATATGTGTTTCTTTTGTTCCAGCCTTTCCTCAGTGGGTCAGAATGATTAATAACACTCAGATGGATAGTGGAGAGAAGCTCCATTGGGAGTGCAAGGCCACAGGGAGGCCCCGGCCCACCTATCTCTGGCTCCGTGATGGTCTGCCCTTGACACCCATGGTACTTCACCACGCAGCACCCTGTCCTGTTGATCGCACCATGAGACGTCTGAATTCAACCCATGAAACTACACCTGTATAGTATACATCTTTAGTTTATTCATGCTTCAGCTTCCTTTCATCTATTTATTTTCTCAATTTTCAGGGTCATGTCGTGATAACGAACGGAGACCTAACCATTCACAATGTGCAGCGGACGGACTCGGGAATGTACCAGTGTGTTGCAGAGAATAAATACGGGGCCATCTACTCCAGTGCTGAGCTGAAAATTTTAGGTATTTACATTTATATCACAGTTTGACACGCGTTTATAAAAGTACAAATACTTGTATTTCGTCTGTAATTTGAATGACACAAATCAAAAGGCATTGGGAGCCTGCGTTTGATGCGGTTACTTCAGTGCTGTAGCCAGGCACGTTTCTTGATCCTCTGCAGAGAATTGAATTGCAGACGGAGTATTGGCATCTGAACGAGGTAGCAGATGATAGGTAAGGGAGATTGAAATGCAAGTGGGGGACGCTGAACTGTGAGATGTGCTGATTGCCAATCAATGGGCCCTGATTTTGACGGCATGAGTAAAAGAGGGATCCTTCTGGTTGTATTCAATGAGGTGTCTGAGCACATCAAGTTGAGGAGAGAGTGGAGCCGTTCCACATTATTCTGAGCAGAATGAAAAACAATGACTTGTACGTATAGATTTATACTAATGGGAGCAAACACTAGAAGAGAGACATCAATGGTTTCTTTGATAGAGTTTAATGACTCCATTAGGGTCTTATCTCCGCTCTATTGTTGTCATCAAAGCACAGACCACACGTGAATCCCAACAAACCTTCACTTTGGACGTGACTTTCATCCGATATTTGTTAGTCTAAATTCCAATTATAACTCGCAGAAATTGCTTAATAACAGATTTTATAAGGTATTTCTAGTGTTTTTGTCCAAAGCCAAATATGCACTTGTAAGTTTAAGAACATTAACAGCCAAGGAAACGTCTTCGGCTTTTAAGGCTTCAGGCTAAAAGCACAACAGTCACTGGCTGTTCACTGTTCTGTGTTGATGCACTATTTTCTCCTTGTCATCTTCTATACTGGGACACATCTGGTGACACCCATTCCCCTTCCATGTTTCCCTGAGGGACAGTTTGATTTACTGTCTGCATGGCATGCCCTTTTTGAAAGGGAATCTGTGGCATTTTCAAACTCTTGCGTCAGGACAAAGTATTTTTTGTAAACTGTCATTAAATTGATGTTTTTTTTCCAGTTTAAATCAGAAATATCCACGGTTTGGTTTATTTGAATTCACAATGTTGTCTGCAAGCGGCAGAAGTTACAGATTTTAATAATCTTAATCTGTGTTGACAAGGAGTTGCTTTTTGCTTTTTCTCAGAGTCACAGTCACAATGATGATATTTGGAAGCGTGTGATGAATGTTTTCATTGCATGACCCCCCCAGGCATCTCTTCCCAGTGACCTGTGCTCTGTGGAGATGTCCACAAGCAAACACTATCAGGACAGATTACATGGCTAATAACAGCCTGAAGATGAGCCATCACTGGAGGCTATGTAGGGGCAGCGGCTGCCCTCGTGCCTGCGATCTTGTCCCAGATCCAGCTCTTCTGGGAGGGTAGCAGGTGAAGCAATAAGGGTAGTGTTGCTACCAGCTGCAGGCCTGTTCTTATTTTGATTAAAACAAATACTCACAGCAACTGCTCTGTTTTCTGCTGTTTTCTCCTGTCTGCGGGGACCTCTGCCACTCAGGCAGCTACTCAGGCTCAAAGACACAAGTGTTGCAGGGAGAGGGGTCAGCCTGTAGCTACAGATGGGATTGAATTGTCATTGTGTGTAATGTCACGTATAAAGCGTCATTCAGGATTTGAATAATCACGGCTGACAAAGCCTTGCAGCCAGTAGATGGCCTTGATGTGTGACACAACTCTATACCAGGACCTCATCAAGTTTCGTGCCTGAAGCCTTATTTAGGCCATTACTGCTTCATTTGTCCTCTTGAGCAAGTAATGTTTATGTTGTGTGTTTATTATTCACTCAGGGAGCTTGGTTAAATACGGGTTAAAACAATTTCCCTAAAAGCAGAGGAAATCATCCAGCCATGTCATCATTAACATGATGACATTAATTACTGAGCAGACTCCACAACATATTATCATATGATTGTAAATTAACACAGAATTATGACAAAGTATGGAACATTATATAAAACATTTTGTGTATGCATGCTTTGAAATGCCTTATGGAAAATCTGGTTGTTAGTATTTTTATCAAGTACTGAACCCGCTAGCAATGTGGAAATAATGATCTTGAAATGCCACAGCTGAAGAGGTGGAATTAGTTTTTGTCAATGGCGTTGGTCCATTGTTTTTACCACTCGGGGGCAGAAACATATCCAAAGCTAATGCACGGAAATAAGCTTGTTAAATATTAGTACAGGTTTAAAACTGAAAATCCATTCATTTAGTTGAGTAAAAATTGTATTTAAGGCATTTGTTTTGATACAAGCCAAGTTTTAAAAGAATAAATCACAAACAGTATAAATGATGTATTTTTTTAAACATGTTAAAATCTTCTCTTTGTCTTACACAGCGTCGGCTCCTGTTTTTGTCCCCAACCCTGTCCGGGTCATCGCTACACTTGGAAAAGACGTGTCACTCGAGTGCAAACCCAGAGCGTCGCCCAAACCGCGGATAACGTGGAAGAGAGGAGACAGACGGGTACAACCAAATAAAAGGTAGAGCAGCTCTTTAGAGGCATCGTGTTTCCCTCCCGAGCTTTTTACAAACTGGATAGCTTTTGATCGTGTTGGTTAGAGAGTATATGAAATAACAAGAAGTACTCTGGGTTATTGATCTCTGTGAGAAAATTCTCTGTTCACTTACAGTTTGTGGGAAGCTGTCAGGGATCCAGTGTGCTCAAGGACAGTTCAGTAGAGCAGGGGTTCAAACCTTAACCCAATCCCAAGTGGAATCCTCTGCACGACATGTTCATAATAACAATCATTGACTGCACAGACACACTGCACATGGTGACACAGGGATTTGAATGGATATCATAGATAAAACATCTAAATGGGAGTTTGGGGAGTTAATATGTGTTGTACATTTTTGCCATTAATCTTTCCTAGTCATTTATTTGCCCGTCTGTAAAGATTTAATATAACAAAGATATTTAAAGTAATATATTCTTGCAGTGTAGCAGACTTCTACTGTTTTACACTGTCACAACCCCAGAGCCTATTACAACTTGTGATATTGAAATGCAAAGGGGAACTCCGACAAATATCACTGATGTAGGGATCTGCCTTAAGCCCTTCATTGTGCCAAAAGGGCATGTTTCACTGTCTGAAATGAAACCCTTTAAGTGTTTTTATATATTTTAGAGCAAGGATTAGTTTTTGCTGCCGTCACTGGGACAGACTGTGTATATTTTCTTTGAAGACGGTGGTAGATTTACCAGTTCATGGTTATAAATAGCCTCAGATCTTCTTCTTCCTCTGCACAGCTTAAAGTATAGCAAACTGTTAGAGAAACTTAATTTCCCTGTAAATTATGTATGAAGCCATGAAAGGTTTGTCTCCCTCGATATCTTTATATTGTTTTCCGTCATAGTTTTGCAGCATAAATTCGAGCGTTATCATCGGGGCTCGGGCCTTTTGAGGGAATATATACGTGTCTTGTTGCAACACATCACAGTTTCATTACTGTAACTGAAATTAAGTGTCACTGCAAGAATAAAACACCTTAGGTACCGGCGAAGCTCTGGAGATGCAGCTGCGGCCCCACCTCCCTCTCGCAGATGCCGACAATTTAGGCCGCACAATTGCGTTTGGAATTCACATGCAGTTTGATGCATCATCTTTTATGAGGAACATCTCTCAGCTGCACCTAGAGGGGGCTGAGCAGGGGCGAGGGTCCATCAATCAAACTGAGCGACACTTCTAAAATTATCAGTCACTGCTCGGACCAGTCCCTGGTCTGGAGAGAGAGAGAGTGAGAGAGAGAATGTGACCTTTTGTTTATCAGCTGAGATTCAGTAGCCTGTTCAACAGCCTCACAGCAAGGGCAGCCAGTTGATAATCAGATCCTCCGTGCTTTAAAAACTCAATCTCCTTAGCTTTAATAAAAGCAGAGTATTCATACTTTAGCATAATATAGTAAGTTTGGGGGTTGGTACAAATAGCTGTAATTTTCTTCAGAGGTAATTTTGTAATTTTCTATACCTATAAAAAAAGACCTGGTTTAGGTGTAGCTGATTGATGGGGATGGAGTTTTTGAGTTTGGTGACTGTTGATTAATGGCCCTGATAACTCTTGAATCTATTATACTCCAGTTCAAATCCCCTGATCTTGTTTTTTATCAGATTTCAGATAATGTTGTGACTTTAAAGCAGAAAATTGTTCGCAGAGAATATTATTGATGAGGCAGTTACTTGATCTCCTCCCCCAGAGTTAAATATCGTTTACCATTAAGGTCATTTTCTTCATGTGTTCAAAGAATTTCTGCGGTGTGCAATTTTTTCTTACAAATTCCTCACAAGCTTCTATATCGTCTGAAACTCAAATCCAATCAGAATGTGACACTCAAACAGGATATTTGTTTTAAATGAACAGCACTAAAGCGAATGAATGACCTGCACAACACAGTATCTCAGCTCAACCTTGTAAATGAGTGATTTCTATTGAAAAGCTAAATAAAGTCGTTGCATTTCCTGGTTTTGTCCTGGATGACTCCTGCACACATTTTCTGCCATTACCTATCGTAAATTAAAGAGTGTATGGATGGAGAGCAGCTCTATTCTTGGAAGAACAGCAGCAGGAATCGAACACGGCGTCACGTTTATCTGTCATTGACAGCTGTGCTGACTTAATGAAGGTTTGTAATTAACATGGATTTCCACTAATGTTTGGGGCTTTTGTCTCTTAAATAGAAAGTATAAGTCTGAGTTTGAAAGTACGTGGCTGACTCAATTGACACTCACAGTTTCAGACAATAGGTGAATAACTTGGCAATTTGAATCGTGAAATGGAAAAACGTCTTATTGGTGATTGATTTACCATATATATAAAATAAGAATTCTGTGGCACCTCACCTTACTTCACCCCAGAAACCTTCACTTAGAATATATGTTCAAATACTGCAGGTTTGCTGTAATCTCTTAATGTTTCCCTTAAATTTCCTTAGGTTGAATGGTTTTTGCATATTGTGTATTATTCCCATCAGTCCCTATCTTGTCCTTTCTGCCTCAGTGTCCTTGTCAGATGTGAATTTCCCCCCTAATTTGAAAAATGTCTCCTGGCTGCAGATTGCCTCTGAATTGTCTACGTGTGGCGAGATTTTGATTTTCAATCACCTTTGCCCATGATGAAAGAGCTCGGTGTTCATATAAATAGAAAAATAAATACCAAACAACATCAGCCAATACTTCATGCACGCCCCACTCCCATCATTCTGATTGTTTGATTTGAGATTAAATTCCTTTTCTAATATAAAGAAAAAAAATAACTTTGTAAATGTGCACCCCCACCCCTGTTAGCCACCCTGAAATCATGTTGTGATATAAATATTTATATTTTGTGGCTTGCACAGGACAGTGAGGTTAAAGCCGTGGTTCCACATAAGTCACAATACTATACTTAAACAGGATTCCTCCTCTGCAGCCATATGCTCACACACCTGCTACTATAGTGTTGCTACATCCAGCACCTAATTGTTCGGCTGTTATGTACGAGTCAGATTCGATGAAAATGTAAATACTACAATGCTTGTGTCCTTCAGCTGGATAAGAGGCGACTGGAATGAACGCAGAAGGGTTGTGTTTTCCTCTATATTACACTCGAGTTTCCCAAGAGGACACCTCACTGATGTGCACATATTGCTCTCTGTCAGATTTTTGCTTTAGATTCATTGAACGCAGCAGCACTTAGCAGCTTGTCAGGTGAATTCATGAGCGCCGGGAAGTGTCTATTTAGATCTATGGAAATATTGATGCACAGGAGCAAAGAATCATAAGATCTTTTTATTATCGCTGCCGAGGAGGTTATGTTTATCAACGCTCTCTGTTTGTCTGTTATTTTGTCAGAGAGTTAGTCGGATTAAACAAAAACTAGTGGACACATTAGCATGACATCTACTTTAAGAGTGGGTCTTTAGATTTTGGTGGAGATCCAGAGATTTTTTTGTTTCTTTCTTGAACATTCTTGAGAAATACATTTTTCTACATTTTCATTGTTTACCCAGGAATAATCCATGGAAACACATTTACATATAACGGGAACTGATTTCTATGAGTGTGTGAAATTTGGTGTAGCTTAATTGAATTTAGGGGACGGGTGGGCCTTGGCGGGGGTGTGCACTCTACTGAGTGCCATTCTAGTTTAATGTTGTGTTCTCCACAAATGTTCTGACAATTTTCTATAATTATGGAAATGGCTACCTGTTGTGTTCTTGCAAAAGCACAAAATGAGACATAGCACATCAGTGTAGTTGCATTTAAAGTCGGAGGAATAATTCTTTGCTCTCTACGTCGACGATGTGGTGTCACTTTTTCTTCTTTTACTGAAAATGTGTCCTAAAATCTTTATTAGTATCTTAAATAGCATGTGTTTTAATCTTATTCATTTCAAATATTTAAATTATTTATTGATTCTTCCTGAAAAATAAGTATTTCCATGTTTTTTTTGTTCAAGGTTGCAACTAACAAATACCACCTCTCCTGACTCCACATCCTCTGAGCTTTTTCATAACACAAACAACTCACCGTCAGATGTTTTTTTGTCCTCAAAGGCAGTGATAGTAACATTTCTGCTGTAAACAGTTTTATTTCATATTTCCCACTGGTATCTAATGAATGTTTAATTCAAGAATATCTGAGCAGTTTTTAGTCTCATCCCGAGTGAACGTTGCTATTCTTGTAACATGACACAACCACAGACATACAGTATCACCTCCCCCCTCAACTTGCACTGCAACTGTTCGTACGTGAATTTGTTTCTCATATACCCGTATTGATTTTTGTGTCCTTTGTCACAGGATTATATTGTTACGGAACAACACTCTGAGAATTGTTAACTCCAGCCGAGCGGACGAGGGCAACTATGTGTGCCTGGCGGAGAATCAGTTCGGCTCGGCAGAGATGACGGCCATGCTGTGGGTAAAAGGTAAGTGATGCCCTGGGGGCCTTTATTTTCTGCCAAATTAGCACAAGTCGGCCACGAGTAAACAGTCCCCGATGTCATTTTTTCCTCCCACCTTTGCTCCTGTGCCAGGAAATTTATCGTGCTTGCTCAACCGTGAACCAAGGGCCCTCACATTCATGAATCGTATTACAAGGACACACTTTAGCAGTGTAAAGGCTTCTGTCTCATTGGCCCTGTTCAGACCTGGTAATAACATCTGTCTCGAGCGATTCAATCATAAGTGGACAGCTCTAAGTACACGTGAAAACGCACCCAAGATGCATTGAGGACGCATTTGAGAACCAATAACTCAGACCAAATTCGAGTGTGAATTATTTTTGAACCTGACTGTGTCCTGGCCCTACTACTCATCTGTCGTCCTCTGGCTCTACAACTCCAGACGTTTACTGGAACTTATCCTGCCAGCCCTCTACAAACATGTCTGCAGAATGTCTGCCTGAGCCCATGTGAGATAACAGCAGAAAAATATCCCGGGAAATTGACAGCGACGTGACAGACGTGAGACTGGAAGAACAATCTCAGGATGAAACAGAGGAGCCGTAAACTCAGAGGACAGAGCAAAAATGTCAAATTTGAAAGACAACTAGATTCAAGAACATAATTTGTTTTTTGCGAACAGAAGTGATGGACAAGTGTATTTGCATAAAGAGCGAGGAAGTGGTCACTGCAGAGACACATGGACACGCATTCTAATGCCAGGTTTGAACTGAAGTCTGCTTGTGGTCGGATTTTACAAGATGTTAATGCCAGATTTGAGCAGAGCCACAGATGAACCGTACACAGTCTAGTTCAGGGTATTTGGGACTTCCTCTCTGGCAAAGGTGAGTGTCACGAGAACCTCACCACAAGGTCAGCGTTGGTTTTCGTGGTCGCTCTGGCAGTGATGTGACAGTCAAATGCAGCCGCGTCGGGTTAGCCTGAGGTGACAGTGCAGCAGCTTTGTGCTTCCAGAGGCCATGCGTGTGGAGCTTAGCCCGGTCAGAGTGGAGGTCACTGTGGGCGAGAGCGTGGTGCTGAGCTGCAAGGCGACACATGACACGTCGCTGGACGTGGCCTTCCAGTGGTTCTTCAACCAGAGACCAATCAACTTCCAGCAGGACGGCGGCCACTTTGAATACATCCAAACCGTAAGAGCAAGAGTAAGAGCAGACTCAGAGTCAGTTTTTCATCTGTTTGTTTTTGCCCCAAGCTTGCTGATATTGTGAATCAACCTCTTTAAGTTAAATGAGTGAGTTGTTTCTATTTCTTCTCTTTACGTAGTTAATGTTTTCTAATTATTGCACCAAACACTTACAGAGGAGAAGATAACTAGTTAGACCAAAGGTCAGAACTTTATTGAATCACACAGTCATATGCTATAAGAGTAGTTTATTTATGGCCCTGAAAGGAAATAAAGTTTGAAACAAGGTCAGCGATGATTTAGAATAAGTAGGAAATAAGTAGGAATGAATATATATGAATTAGAAGAAGACTAATACTAATAATGTGAAACTTTATCAAGGTGAATTAATATAATGGCGTTTGTAAACAAATAACATGGTCTACGCTCATCTTCCTTATTATTCATCAAATCATTAAATTATGGCATTGTAAAACCACGTTATGAATCAATACTCGACAACTGCGTCGTCATTAGGTCACTGCTGAAACGTAAGAACTCTGTTTGACTTAAAGGTTTGAAATATTGGAGGGACTAAAGGTCCTCTGAGGAAGAAGTCATAGAAATGATCCAAACTAAAGTGAAATATACATAAACCGGATAAAAGATTAAACCTTTTCTCCCACTTCAACATCAACATTGTTAACTGTCACCTTTAAACCCCTTTTATTATAGAAGGACCCATTTTGACCTCCGTGTTTTCCTCGTCCCTTTGGTTTACTTGGCCATTGTGCTCAGAAGAATATCCACCATCTATTCTGCAGAGTGTAGAACGATTAGAGATATACCACACTAGCTGATTTGTATGAGCTACTGCATGTAACTCTATGGCAGAGTAATAAATGTAATTTACTGAATATACACATTCATTCGTCCTGTCACATAGTTAGCTACTTTGAACGGCTGCAACCGCTGCAGCTCAACCACACAGATGGTTAGCTTTGTTCCCAGCATGCAATGAATCCTAGGATATGTTAGGATAGGAAAAGAGGAAGGACGTATTTGTTGGCTGAAAGGACAGCCCTTGCATTGAGACAGTTATTATACTTTTGATTATTTTCCAGTTTTAGAAGCAAAAGAAGTAAATTGAACTCAAAAAAAAGATTTAGATATTACTCCCTTCCTAAAAACATTATGAGGCTTTAAGATTAATTTAAGTTTAGATTTCCCCTCTCCTGACAAAAGAAGTAATTCGCCAACGACTGGGAAGATTTAGTTACGTCTTTATCTCTGGCATTGGATGTTAAAGTCACATCTGCCTGGATGTGTCCTCTACTACTACCCATGCTCTGAAGGGAAAGTATTTGCAGTGACATCCCTTTACAGGCAGCACAGATTCCTGGCTGATGCATGGTTTGTAATTTTAATCAGGTTTCGTACTAAACAGCTGCCTGTAGACCTTGAATTATTCCCAGTTTTGCCTGAGGCATTTCTCATTTCAACAGAGAAAATACGGGCGGCTGAAGAATGTAGCAGCAAGCGAGCACCTGAATTAAACAGGAATCTCTCAAACCACATGAGCCTCTACAGGATGTAGAGGAATCACACTTTCTCTTGCTAAGCACATTTACACTTTGCTCTTCTAAATACCGAACTCCTTTTTTCTTGCTTTGCTTTACAAATTGCAGCAGTCCTCGACAGTGGATCTGATGATTCGGAGCATATTGCTGAAGCATGCTGGGAAGTATGGGTGCCGGGCCCAGACCAGCGCTGACACGGTGTTTGCAGAGGCCGAGCTTCTTGTGCGAGGTGAGCTTGTTATCTGTCTGTGCACCAGTGCAATGCAACATCTTCACTGATGCCCCTCCTTGAATTGAATCAGCACCCTAAAGCAGAATTCACATATTTTATTATGAAGTTTACTCCAGGACGCTCTGAGAAGAGTTTTTGGGCTGAAGGGGAATAATAATAACAACAAGCACGTCTCAATCAGTGCACATATGGGTTCTTAACTATTGTCAGTGAATCTATTCTGTAAAGCAGTTACTGTGAATCACGGAAATTAGCCAGAAATGTGTTTTCAGTGCAGCAGGTCTGAGGAGTTGGCCAATTAGACATTAGAGACAATTCCCAGATTATTGGCCCCTTTTGATCATCTTGACTAATTTTTACGGTCACTGTGAATATGGCCGGACAGACGGTCTGTCTGCATGAGCGAGTTTGATATGAGCTGTTGAGCAGATTGGCTGAACTGTCTAGTGATCTGATTGTGTGGCTGTGTCTGAGTGTTGCTGATATTGTAACATGGAGATCATTATCTGAGCAGCGTGTTGTCTCTGGGTGACGCAGCTTTATATAGTTTAAGATAAGATATAATGTTCTTTGAATCTGTAAATCAACCAAAACTTTAACATGAGTTAGTTTGTTTCAGGTCAGGCAATAATTCAATATTATAATAATTAATAATATACTACTTTTTATCTTATATTACGATCAGGAATACAGTTTGTTTATTTATCTATTTTACATCATTTTTTATTATTAGTATAAATTAAATGATTTAATTTGAATTTGGTTTTCTCCTTTAATGTCAAATTGCCTCTTAGTGTCCGTTATTTTATTTTGAAGTATCGGACATTTCTTAACAGCCAACTGATACATTGATCTTGCTCCTGTATATGAATGTATATCTTAAAGGAAATATTTCAGCCATGTCAACCTTTGTATTCAATGTATTCAATGTATTTTAATGATTGTCAGTTCAAATTAGCTCATGCACAGCGGAGGGTTTATGCGTTGGTATTGGATTCATTACAAAGAGGGTGCTGTTCCCATGGTAACACAAAAGTCATCTTAATGTCCCGACATGCAAATGCACCTTTCAGCGTAACCTTCTAACGGGCACTTTTTGGGGGACACAGTAGATTGGTTTTCATGGAGCGTACCAGCTGCCCACTTTTCATTTACAGCTGTTCCCCCCAGAGTCCTTAGACACTTGCTGTACTTGCAGATTACATTTACTATTGAATAGCGAGGTAAACATATGTTTGGCTGTATTAAAACATCGGAAGGTCTGCAGCACAGTCATGCTCAGCAGAACTGGCAAACTGCCGTCTGAATCCCCCCCCCCCCTAAAAAAAAAAAAGACAACATCAGTTAGTATCCCTTTATCAGCATGAAATTTCTGGCAGCAGAACCGTGTCTGCCCAAATCCTGGTTCAGTATAGGATGACGTGTTCTCGTCTGCTGTTTCTTTGGTCAAAGATTACAACAGGGAACTGGTGTTGTCACCACATGCACACAACTGTGCATCCTTTTGAATGCTCGCATGGTTGCATCCTTCAGTAATAAATAGTATGCATGATGAAGACATCACACAATGGACCAGTTCAGGATGAATCCAAACAACTGCTTTTCTTTTTCCCTTCTTGCATCATCCATCGACACCTGTAATTTCTTGTTTGTGTCACCTCTCGTTTTCCTCAGGTCCTCCTGGACCCCCCGGAGTGGTGATAGTGGAAGAGATCACAGACACCACAGCCACCCTGTCCTGGACTCGTGGCCTCGACAATCACAGCCCTATCAGCACCTATAATTTACAGGCCCGCAGCCCATTTTCATTAGGCTGGCAAACTGTCAAAACAGGTAATCAATAAGGAGAAAATTGCAGCCCCTCGATCTGGAAGGTTAAGGTGGGGCCATATAAAGGCTTTAATCCTGCCCAGAGTCATGTACAAAGACTGTGAATCAGAGCCAGGCTGCCGTTTTAAGGACATGTAATTAAACACTCTCGTGGCAATTTACTTTTATATATTATTGCCATCAGTCTTTTAAATCCCATCCAGAAAGTAACGGATCAAGCTTCGGTCAATCTGGACAACAATTCTCAGCCACCCGAAGTTAAAGTGCAGTCCTCTTTCCCGTTTCCCTTTTACATTTGAACAGGGCTATTGTTCAGAAGAGCTTATAGCAGAAAGTAATTTGAGCCTATTTCAAATGTCATTGGTTTTAATTTTATTCTGTTTCCTATCAGCAGTTAGTGCAAAATTAACCTTTCGGGCTTGAATTATGACACTTATTCTTGTCCATTTGGCATTAAGGCACTTTTTCCTCTTTTCTGTACCTTGACAGTGAAAAACAATCAGTTAAGGGATGAAGGCTCGCTAAGCTTTGTGTATAATCCATCTTAATATGCCCTTTGGTAATAAAAGCAGCGTTGAAGTTGTGATAACGATTCATCCCCACAGATATATAAATCATACTTTGTGTACATTCCTCTCACATCATGTCTCCTCAACCATGTTTAATTCGATAAAGCACAATTAGGCTTGTGTGATGTATTGTCGGTGTTGAACTTGTTAAGATTTGCATAAAGCAGATAGCGCTTTTAGCTCCCACTCCCTGCAAACACAGTTATCAGCTGGTGTTTGAATGGGAGCTTGCTTGACTGAGTGGTCTCATTGTGAGCTGCGTCGGATGATAAGGACGTAAGCTCTGCTGCTTCGCCGAACATTGCTTTAGTTAGAGAGACCTCTGGTTCATTTGTGACATGGATATGCTTTCAGTCAATGTTTGTGTTCTGCTGCAGAGTCAATATTGACAAAGCTTGATCATGGCGTCCCTGAAGATGTTAGATTAGTTGAAAATAAATTCATAAACTGGATTTTTCTTGTTGCATCTCAGGATGTAGTTTGTAGTTACTCAGCTTTGAAATCAGCTTTCCACTATGTAATGAGTTATACGCCCAAATGTCCAAAAAGCTGCCAGTGAGTTGTTGTTCAGGCATCAAAACAGCATATGCCAGGTTTCAGGAAAAGTCTGTATCATCACCAGCTCTTTTAAGAATACGCCAAATTACAGAGAATCCTAAGAGAAGGTGTTTCACTGTTCAAACGAGCAAAGACAGTGTTATTTTATTGGGCTCTGTTTTCCACCACATTGGAATTTAAAATGAAACAAAAGACGAGGTTGAAGCGCTGGAAGCAGTGTGTCTAAAGATGGACGACAGGAAGACTCCCAATTGTGATGCCAATGTGTTTGATTGCCCCCCCATGGCTGGCCACATATAGATCATTAACCCTGCCTCCACCATGACGGGACATGGACCAAACAAAACTAGTCAAAGCACACGTTGTGTTTCAAAAGAAGGGGAGACACATAAAAAGATAAAACAAACAGCGATAAAATGAGGTAAAACCACATAAATAACTCAACAGGGTTTTCAGGCAAGTTTTAAGTATCCAGAGTTGATGAGGTCCTGGACTGGAGGGGCAGAATGTTCCACAGTTTGAGGGCAACTACCACAAAGGCCCTCGATGCTTCTATCTGGACCCTCAGCAATCCAAAGGCAGCCGTCACTGGCAAATAATTGGTCGAGCAAGTGCATGGGAGGGACCTTGCTACTGTGGCTCCATCCCCTGACTCACTACTGCACAATATGATTGCAGCAAGACAGCAGCGTTTGTAAACAGGATATTTTGGCTCATTTCTGGATAGTTGGAGGAACTGGTGATGCACAGTCCACCTTTATTTACAACCCACCGTATAAACAGTGTAGGAATTATTTCTCAATTTCAGGCGACACAGCCTTGAAGTGATCATATAAAGTCACCGTGTTCAATCATATAAAATACTTTGTTAAAGATGGCCTTCAGGCTACAGCCCACAGATATTCAAAGACACACTGGAACTGCATCTATAGAGTCCTCTTGTTTGCTTCCTTCAGTGAAACACCTGCTGTTGCCTGATTGAGATCAGGTGACTGCCATAAACAAACTCCCCGTTCGCCTTTTCAGTACGTTCAGCATCATTTTCCTGCCTGATTGTTCTTCGGGGGGACTTTACATTTAAAGGTCTGTGATTCTTACATTGTTCAGCACTCGATACGGATGAGACCACTGTCAAACACCCTTAAAGCTGAAGAAAAGTGCAGCTGTTGTAGTGTGGTGCTTGTCCTGAATAAATAAATACACAAGCACCAATCTTGTGTGCAGACCCAGACCCAGTGACCGGGAACATGGAGTCAGCTATTGCTGTGGAGCTCAACCCCTGGGTGGAGTATGAGTTTAGGGTCGTGGCGAGCAATGCGATTGGGACCGGAGATCCCAGTGCGCCTTCGAGAGGAGTGAGGACTAAAGAAGCAGGTAAATCCTGTGTGCCATCAGTGCAGATATACGCTGCTGTCACGTCAAACTGAAAATGTATTGTGCCCTCACCCACCACTTCACGAACATGTCATGTTCCCCTTGTTAATGTGCTCGGTTTTAATGGGGACGTTCAAAATCAATAAGATGCGTACATGAATTTCAAGAAGTTTAGTGTTTCTGTTAATGCAGCCACTCCTTTAATGCCCAGAGGCAAAGACACAGCAGAATACAGCATTTAAAGCGAGCAAGAATTCACCGACACAGTCTGGATCTGCTGCTGCTGCTGCTGCCGGATGTTTTCTTCATCCCTAATATGTAATAATTACAAAGGTCGGTGGTCAATCAGAAGTGGCGTATTTTATACGTTTAATCTCCTTCATCATAATTAACAGACTAATTACTGTATCTCCACACGGTCGTGTTAATCCATCCTACAGCAATGATCCACATGCCAGGAAAAAGGGTGTAAAAGTCAAAACCTGACTGTGGAACCGTGTATTGCTTTCAGGGTGATGTTTTGTTTTCTGCTACTGTTAAATGTTTCTTTACACACACGATGCATTGTATAATCTTTATGATTAACATTCCAATCATCGGTGAAATGTAGGTCAAATTGATGTTGGGCATGTAAACAATGTTGAAAACACATTAGGTGAGTGAGTGAGTTTGCAGTGTTGCATCAGTGAGGCGGTGTTAACCTTTTTTTCTCTTTCACACAGTCCCATCAGTGGCACCAGCGAATGTTAGTGGTGGAAATGGCCGCAGGCATGAACTGGTCATCTCATGGGAGGTAGGTCCTCTGCCAAAGTCTCTCTGTAGAACGAGCATGACAGCGCACATGCAAAAACACAAATGTCACAGTGGGCCTGGTGTTTCAGCAAACTGCAATTCTCTTTTGTTGAATAAACAGGGGTTAATGGAAGCTTTTATTTTGTCTCCTCTCACTTCATCTTTGCAGCGTCTTGTTGTATCGAGGACTGTCAACGACTTGACATTCAAAGCGTGAAGTGTTTTCAAATCTCTTATTTTCATAATTATGATATCTACCTACGTATGTGAGAAAGGCCTTGAAATCCAAGGTGCTTTGTAAAGAGGCTGAAATTCAAATTTGAATCTTAAAACTATTATTCAGAGTTCAACCAAAGTTTCCTGTATAATTTGAATGCTATTCATTTCAGAATATGTGACCATTCCAAGGTTTAAAACAGACATTGACTTAGTCTAAAATAAATGATGTGTGGTATTAGCATCTATTCGCCTCAATTGTGGCGGATGAACTATTTCTATCATCACACTAGACCTGCTCCATCAACAGCGTTAGAATGAATAGAATGAAATGGTGTTTCTTAAACATCAATACATTTTGGGTGTTGCAGTGGTCGCCTCGCAGCAAGAAGGCTCTTGGTTTGAATTTCGGGGTTTGGCTGGGATCTTTTATGTTTTCAATTACTGGTAATTTTGTACTTGCCATATAAATGCTTCTCTGCAGTTTCACCTGCAAATGAAACTGCAATTTGTTAGGTATTTGATTGACCTGTGGCCACCCTCAGGTTAATAGTTAATAGTTTCCGGATTACAAGGTATCCTGAAAAGCATTCCATAAGATTCATAAGAGAAATAATCTGTTCATTTGTAAGACATAGCTTGCCAGTGAAGTGGATCACTATATTGATTTTTTTTAATCAGAGCTATTTCAAAAACAATTGACATGGCTGTGTTTTTATGACAAAGTAAGAAGGTCCTTAGTTTTAGAAGAAGTATTAAAATTATTTACTTATCTAAAACAAGAAAAGTACTTTTTACTCTAATAACAGATATAATTCAAAAAAACATAATATATGACAAAATAAATAGAAATGTTGATTTTGATGAGTTTATTCTTCACTTTATAAGCCAGTAATACTGAACCTTTCTGCTTGTGACCCTCTGGAACAAAGCCGTGCCTCCAGTACTGAAATGTGAGGAAAAATGTATAATCACCCACCCGCTGCTCAGAGCATTCCTGCAGCTTGATCCAGGAGAGAAAACAAGCAATGCTCCCTTTAAACATCTGCAATGAAACCACAGCTTCAGCATGATCCTATAGGATTTCATCTGTCACTAAATAATAAATCCTGCATGTGTGTATGACTTAATAATCATGTAGCGGTTGCTGCTGCATGTGGCATTCATTAAATAGCGTCAGTTTTTACTGCCTGGGAATACTTGTCAGACATTATTAAGGGGGATAAAACTTGGTTGATGGATGACGCTTGTCCTTGCGGTTCCTGCGCTTGAGGAAAAAAAACGCTCTGATGATTTTCAGATGCAGGTGATTGACTGTTTACAGTCAGTTGCATTTGCTTTAGTCGGGATATGATGGGTGGTAGTTTCACTCAGTGTGCTGGGGACCTGCGTTTTCTTTCCTTCCTATTCCCTGAACCATCAAAGTGGGATCTAATTAAAACATAGAGGAGTCGTTTCAGCAGCTCGAGTGAGAAAATGATGAGAAGAGTCAGGAGATGTTCTTAAAGTGGAGGAAGAAAGATGTTCAGAAGGATTTTCTGAAGGTATTTCTGTGTTGAACTTAGTTTTGGTAAGAATGGATGCTTTATTTTTATCCAGTAGAAAAAGAGCTTGGGCTTAAATTCCAGCAGAAACGTTATTGATCGTATTAGTCGTAAAAATTAAGATTCAAGTTTTCCCGTCTTTCTTTCATCTAGTGCATATAGGTTGGTTGTGACTTAAAAGCAAAGTAAAGAAGTTAAGAAGCCCAAATTCCATGGTGCTACTCTCCCCCACAGAAAATGCTCCTCCTGAAACCTCTCATCAGTAGTCCAGCATATACGTTCACTAAAAAAACACATCTGCATAATGCATGGCTAGCGGCTAGTCTGGCACACTCCCTTACAGAGCCAGGTAAAGTGAGAGCGGAGGCCAACATTTCATACTCGCGCTGGAAGCAGTTGAGCGATCACAACAGACAGAGGCTGAAAAGAGGAGCTGCAGCAATGGACAGCGTGAGGAAAGGGATGTTTTCTGAACTTCAGAGGGAGAGAAACACAACCCAAATTAAATCTGAGCCTGAATATATCTCATTTAAAGGTTCAGTGTGAAGACATCTAGAGGTGAGGTTGTTCCCATTCCAAACATAAAAGAGAACCTGTGAAAATCTTCAGTTGTCTATCACTAGGATTATTTTATATTCAATTTCTGCCAATAGATCCCTTTCACCTAAATCCTACACACTGGAGCTTTAATATTTTACTGGAAGACGACTTAATAAATGAAAAGTATTCACACAGATTTAAGTTAGACAAATGAAGTCTTAAACTTGGAACATTATAAATGGTTGCATTTAGTGGGGACTGTGATTAAAGGTCAGGTTAGTCAACATCCCCATGAAAAGCTTAACGTGTTGCTGAAGGAGTTTTCTGAAAAATGTATCCGAACTAATGTACAATATGCAGCTAAAATAAGAAGACAGCTCACATATTTTTTTATATTGTGGAAGTCTTTATTGGTAGACAAACTGCACAGCACCACAGCTGCAGGGACAACGATAAAATAACACAGTTGAGGATGCACTCAGCTCCCAGGGAACAGTGACCCCTCTGATAGAAAACGTCGAGTGTGATGCACATTATATCCAGTGGAATAACACAGAGGTGCGGTTGTGGTCCTAACAGCTATCGGTGGAAGAGAGGGTCTGTGAGTCACGAGAGGGCTCAGGTGAGAACCCATCATTAGGGCTGGATGACCTTTTTCCATTTCAGACGGGAGAGAGGGTATAGACACATTTGCTGCAGCATTCCACAGGATTTTCTCGGACTCCGTTTTACTGAGTTTTAACTCCTCACTGGAGGATTTGATCAGGTCGAGCTGGCTTCAGCTGTTTCAAGAAGGAACAAACCAGATGAGAAAGATCCAAGTAGAGTTGAATTGATTTGCCCTCAATTCAGCCCCTTTTGGTTAACTGTGACCTGGAAGACTGAGAATCTCCACAGACAGATTAGAGAGTGGTCACTGGGGTAGAGTGGTTTTCCATGAGAGCAGAGGTTGTAGTGGTTATTGTAAAAGAAAGCAACTGCAGTGGGATACGGAAAATTAAACTGGTCCTAGATGGATTTAAGTCACAAGAGCAATAAATGATACAACATAAATATTTTATTTTATTTTATTACAAAGTACGGTGGCAATGCAACTTAAAGGTACAGTCCAAACATGAAAAAAAAACTGTGGTAACTTCAATTTAAACTCAAAAGGTGTTTAGTTTGTCCAGTCTGGACTAATCTAAAAAAACATAGCGGCCTCCGTAGAGAGGACCCCCTCAATGTAAATATAAAGTATTTAAATATAAAGGGTCTTTTCTGGGGTAAAGAAAACTACAATTCATACAATTAGATGAAACGAACTAGTGAAAACATCATGAGAATTATTCCACATTAAATTTCTGACAATAGTTCCCTTTCACCTAAATCTTACACACTGGACCTTTAATGAAACACATACAAAGAGCCACAAAACATATTGATCGAACTGACAACATATGCACAACAAATAGAAAACATGCTGCCAGTATTCACAACACAACCAGATACTCACTAAAATTAACAACACAACGCAATTGTTTCCAGGAGACACTTATTGGCGATGATGGTTGAGACACGCTTGCTGTTGCCATGCTGTGGGACTCGAGAAGTTATCAGTCGAAGTCGATCTCTCAGTCTTAGTGGAAAATGACTTAAATGCTTATTTTAACATTGGGACTGTTAGCATCTTGTGGGTACTATTAGCCTCCCGAATTCAAGTAATGTCTCTAAATACACTTAATTAATTGAGAAACAGGATGACGTCATGTCGGCCACAGTAAAGACGATACATGTTGATCTGAAAAACACAACGTTAGCATTTACTTTAGTAAGATATACAGAGAGAGATAATTCAAATAAATTGAAAAAGACAAAACTCAATTGTATTCGTAACAGCTCTAAAGCAGAAAAAATTGCGATTTAATGACATTTGCTGGTAGTGGTTAGTGTCTCTCATTGTCAGGGTCCCCTCATTGGCTCTCCTTATGTCGAGTTATAGAGCATATGTGCACGTGTTGTTGGCTGTGGACACAGACGCCTCGTTTATCGTTAATAGTAGCACAACCTCAAAGTCATAGCTCATTGCATTTTAAACAGGTTCATGTTTTATTGTGCTGGAAATTTACTTAACCATCCAGGGTGTCAGAGTTTGAGGGCACAACTTGGTCACAATTAGAGAATTTGTCGACAAAGCTCAAAGAAGGCCAGCTACGCTATATATTACCCAGAGCCGCAGCAGCCGGTCGAGTGATTAAGATGTAGTGAATTTAAAATTTGGTCCCACAAGAGACCAACAACGATGATTAACCTTGAGTCGCAGAGTCGTTCCTAATAAATCCAGGGATGTTTATGAATATCTGTTTGTACTCTCAATCTTGACAATGATTGTACAAAATGTAATAAATCTCTCGCTAAGTAAAGAGGATATTAGTGTGAATCGTTTCCAAGTGGACAGCTTGGCTCTCGGCCAGGTTCAGGGTGCAGCATGTTCAGAATTACTATGAGCAAAGCCGAGAATTTGCAATTGAGATCAGTCGAAGGATATATTAACAGGGGAGCGGTGAACAGATGTGGAAGCAACTGACAGTTATTCTTGTAGTTATTAAGTATGGGAGCCAAACTGCCACTGGGAAGATAACCTTCACATGAGCAGAAGTGCACCTCGGTGGCACATTATGGAGGATAATGTCCATTCCAGATGGGATGGTGTTTGGTGGTAGACCATTTCCTATTTATAACTCAAGAGTGTCATTAGCGTGCCGAGTATGACGCAGTGACGACCTCCTCGTAAATATATACAGGACCCCAATGTTGAACAATAAAAGAGGGTCTCTTTATTCCAGTTACGCAAAGCAGCGACTGGAGCTGAGTTTGATATAAAACCGCCGAAATAGAATCAATTTGAATGATGGACTCCACCAAAGAGGTTATGTTTTCATTGCTGTCGGTGGATTTCACAGTTTTATTGAAACTTGGTGGATAATTTTTGGTGTGGACAAATGTGAATTGTTCTATTTCACTTTTTCACCATTGCAAGATAGGACGAGGGACGCGTTCTCTGAGTGCCCTTAAAGTTACTTATTGCTTGCTTGTTTTTAATGTCTTGGCTCCTGCCTTCATCTGTGGCCTCGTTTATTTGTTTGTAACCACCGGCAGAATATCAACAGTAATCACCAAGTATTGATCTATACTTTCATTAAATTGGTCAAATCTCTCTTTTCAGCTGCGCGAGATTCATTCATTCAGAACCTCGTCTCTCTACGTCTTTAGCTCGCTCGTGCCGACACACACACATCAGACACATCTGTTAACTCAGATTGGGTGAAAATAACAAAATTTGGTTTAACACAATTGACATGTGCTAATTTGGATGTAGACAGGGGAAGTGGGCTCCCATCACATGTAATCACAGGAGACACACTCAGGACGCATTTTAATGTCAGGTGTGAACACACGTACTTATTGCTGACCACGTGTGATCGGATCTCTCAGGACAGATGTTAATACCAGGTGTGCACGTTTTGTATCTAACCCCCTATCATCGCTACCTGAGATCCTGGAGCAGGGCCCCACTAACTGTGGCCCTTAGCAGACTCACTTTTATTGTATCATCTACTCTTAGTTATTGGTATGATTGAAAGTTGAAAGTATTTATAGTATTTTATCTTGTCAAATTTAATGTTTCGGATTTTATAATTTTTGTTTTATTGTAAAGAACTTGGTATGCAATGGTAAGATTAAAGTTATTGTTACAATTATAAGTTACAAATGTGATTCTTGCTGAACATATTTCTCCCTCAAAATTATTATATACTGTCTCGATGAGATTGATGAATTTGCAGCTTTAGTGATACAAACCTCCATCATTGGGACAATCAATGTGCTTTACAGAAAGTGTCATCCCGAAATCAAATTGTGCCTGTTTACAGAGGAAATATACAAATATAAAAAATAAACAATAATAATAAATAGAAGTATAAAGTAAAGTTATTCATTAAATATAAGTAAGTCAAGGTGATGAGGACGCAAACACCATACAATAGCAGCAAAGTGACTGATAAGATAAGTATGGTCAATAATATATGCATATTGCACAGTGTATTTAAGTGGTATGATGAATATGAACACCAGACTGAGTGTAAACATTACTGAGTCCGCTCTGTTTTTATTCAGTTCACTGAAGTACAGGCTTTACCTGAAAAATTAAAGTACTTCTTAATGCTTCCTCTGAGATCATTGTATGGAACATGGAGTAGTCACCCATCAATAAGTGTGTCAGGATCACTGGGCAACGCTGTGATGTTCTATTTAGATGCAGTGTCCTCCTTTTGGTACTTGGCATTTTAAGTCGTTTTAGTTCTGCCCTATTTCTTCTCCTTTCTGCTAAGTGCTTTTGGAAATAAATCAGGAGTCCGTCGGTGATCAATGCAGATGGATATTAAAGGAGACAGTGCAGGAATGTTCACCCTTTTTTGGCAGTCGAGGCATGTGAGCGCACGGCAGTTCCGCCTCTCCAATCGCCTGTGAAGAGTTGTCAGAGCTCGGACGGCCACGGTGGGCAGGGTTATTAAGCAGGATGAATGACTCGACAGTCTCCGCAGCTTCATTCAGCCATCTCATTAGAGGCGACGCTCAGACACCGCTTTTTCTCCGGGAGCCACTGGGAGGACCATTAGTGATGCCCCCACCGTCACTGTCACTGAGCTCAGCGGGCCCCACGATTTCATCCACAAGATTTACCTCAGTCAGAACAGCCGTCACAGTCTCCACACTTATCTGGGACGATCTCAATACCCAAACCCACAAGTGCTTCTACATTTAACTAGCTAATTTGTTCATGCTGTTTTTTAAAAGACCCATATTCCTTGGCACACCTTTAAAAGCATTTCCTGCTCTGATAATAACTTTGATGGTAGCTAATTAATTTCCACTAATCATCTCTGTAATTAGTCAGTCTTGCTGATTGGTCGTTGTTGAATGAAATGTGAACTACACCTCCACCATTGCCTCTGAGGACTGGATGGCTTATTTGGGCGATGCCTTCAGGGGACAATATTCCCTTGAAGCCCATATGCAAATCAGCACATTAGAGTGTGAGTCGCAGCCTTGTTGCCAAAAACAGGTGTACAGGTGTTTGCCATTTATTACATTTTGCCAAAGATTGAATCCCTGCAGCTATTATTTTAATTAGATTCCAGCGCACTTAATAAATTGGCGTTTGATTTGATTAGGCAGAGCAGCCAGGCAGCTCCCAGTTTCACCACTTCAGGAAGACCACGGATTAACACCGAACCCAGCACACACATTTACTGTCACAAAAATCCTCCTGTCAGACATGGAAAGATAAATAGCAACATAATGGGCACGACTGAGCCAGATATTATTTGTTTCCATTACTCACGATTGACGGCATCTTTATCAACACTGGCTGACAGATACAGTAAATGAGTAGGAAATTGAAAATGGGTTATATGGGACTATACCACAGAGGAAAAACTTATGCTTGCTTTTTTGTTTCTCTTCAATGAAAGCCTTGTTTGCACTGAATAAGCTGCTCAAATGAGGAAAAATAATGTCTGTAATCTTCAGTTGCAGAGCCAGGTCTGAACTTACACTCGGTGAAAGACACGCTCGAGTGATTGCTCCTCTCCTTCTGATTCTTTCAGCCTGTGTCTGAGGAGTTCCAAAACGGCGAGGGCTTCGGGTACATTGTCGCATTTCGTGCCAACGGGACCCGAGGCTGGAAGGAGAAGATGGTGACTTCAGCCGACTCGACGACATACAAATACAGAGACGAGACCTTCCCTCCCCTCACCCCGTTCGAAGTGAAGGTCGGAGTGTACAACAACAAGGGAGACGGGCCGTTCAGCAGAGTTGTTATCATCCACTCTGCTGAGGGGGGTGAGTTGATATTTGTGATTGTGTGGATTTAAAAAGAGCACGTGGAAATTAAAGTGTTTTAATATTTAATGACGTTTTGCCTTGTTTCACAGAACCGAGGGAAGCACCAACCGATGTGAAGGCTCACAGCGTTTCTTCATCGGAAATCAGGGTCACTTGGAAACCTCCCAACCCTGGTCCTGGAAGACCAAGAGGATACGAGGTCTGTGTACATTCTTCGCTTGGAGGTTGTGTTTGAATGCACACGTGTACATCTACATACAGCGTGTGACATTTTGCTTGCAGCATGCATACCTTTGTGCATGTTTTTGAAGTCTTAGAACAGTGTGGCTTTTTCCCAACATCGTCAATTTCTGTTTAAAGGTCAGCTACTGGAAAGACATGGAGCAGGAAGAGTCGGGAAAAAAACAAAGAACCGTGAAAAATGAAACATCCATGGTGCTGACGCGACTGGACGGCAACAGTGTGTATCTCATCATAGTGAAAGGTTTCAACAGCATCGGCCAGGGTCCTGCGAGTGCTGCCGTCACAGCCAAAACCAGAAAATCCCGTGAGTGCGGTGCTGACACGAATCATGTACTGCTATATATAGTTCATAGGCTACATGATAAGATGGCTTTGAATATCCCTGTAAAAAGAGTGCTGGTTGACCTCATTGGTCCAAAACTCCATTTGAATTCTATTCCAAGAGTTTTGCTTTCTCTCCTCAGCTCCGGCTCAACCTCCAGCCAACCTCATGTGGATTCAAGAGGGCAACAACGTGTCTTTAAGCTGGGACCCGGTGAAGGCAAAAGAAAATGAATCTGATGTCATCGGTTACATGGTAATGAGCCATTTCCAAAGTCTTGTCCGCTCAGTTTGAAAAGAACAAAACACTCAGGAAACTTAACGGTGGTGAAGTGGGAACAGTCCCAAAAGTTGGCTTTTTACAAATGTAAATTCCTATCGAAAGTTTTCTCGTACTTGTCCTTGACTAAAAGACCCCAGGGGTCTCCAGAATAAATTAGTATGAATTTAAATTAGTATATGTATTTTCGCTTTTCCTTTTTGTATGTTTGTTTGTTGTTTTTCTGTAAATTTGATGTGATGAGTTGACTGAGAGATGAGAGGAACAAACCCCAGACTGTAGATAAAGATGGATAACAGGTCTCTACTTCTGCACAAAAATGAAGCCAAAATATCCTGGATACGAGTGCTGCTGATGATTTAGAGTCTGCACAGTAGTGATCATAAGGTCGGGCTGCAATATCGATTTCCAGAGTCTGTCTCAGCTTTCAATTATATGATGACCCCATTCTTATAGCTTCAAATAACTTATTAAAGTCTAACTTACTGGACAATTTAAGTGTGTTAAAGAACTACCTGAAATGGCAGAAACCATCTTTATTTAATGTCTACTTTGACTTTTTAGTTTGGTCCATGTCCCATTTGCTGACGTGGAGGAGGTAGGGTTTATGAACTATACTGCAGCCAGCCAACAGGGGGCGATCCAGATGATGTAGCTGTCTTGTCATCCATGTTCATACACAGTCTATGGTGCAAACTGCTTGTTGGATTGGTATTATAAGGTGTCTACAAAATGGGCTGAGCTTAATTAACAATGTAATTAATGACATAATTATTTATACCAAATACTCCATTGGTTTAAATTTAAGACTTTAATGCCAATCAAACTGTTGTGTTCCAACTCATTTAATAATCATTGATGATGATAATAATTTAACATTTGAACATGAACATTTTCTTTATAACTGTGTTTAAGAAAAACTTTAAACTGAACCAACCAACAAAAGTGTTTGCTACTCGTCTCCACCATATGAACTGTGTATACAGTGTAAACCTGAAGTGACTTTGTGCTTCTGTCCTGCAGGTGTTACTCAAACAGGAGGGCAGAGGTCACAACCAGGTGACAAGAACCATTAACCCGTCCACCATGCTCTCACTGCCAGAGGGAGGCACCTATATCATGGAGGTGCGTGCCCTCAGCGAAGGAGGAGAGGGAGCCGTCAGCTCCCAGGTTCGAGTCGTCACCTCCTCCGGTAAGCTTAATAGTATTTGTTACCTCCTCCCCTCTCTATCTCCCAGCTGCACACCTCTTTTCATGACCACTGAAATCCAATCTCCATGCTCAGACTGTTTTCTCTTTAGAGAGATCTTATGTTCTGCCCTTAATTGAGTCACCGCAGCTGTTGTGAGAGCCAGGTTTTCCTTGGCTAATACTGTTTTAATTACCTCACCCACACAAACCTTCCTACTCCTGCACAGCCAATTAACTCCTAAGCAACAGGACGAGCAGGAAGTACACTGCTCAATGTGCAACATGACCAACCGGCTCTTCAGGGCGACGGATTGTTGTTTTCCTCCTCCTCCTCGTCCTCATTGTCCTTCACTGCTCCCTTTTTTCTTCCTCGTAAGAAAGAAAAAGGAAATTTATTTATAGCTCCAAACTCCCTGAGTGTCAATGTAGTTGTTCAGCATTAAAAATAAATGCGTTTGTTTTGCATCTGTGTTTTCTCTGGTCGTGACTTGTTCTCTCTCGCCCCTCTTAGGTGTTCGAGCAAAAAGCAACCAGTGCTCGGTGCACTGTCTGCCACAGAGCCTAGCATGGACCGCACTGCTCCTGGTTCTTCTGGTGCCTTCAGCTTCCTGGTGAGGCCACTGTGCCCGTCCTCGTTTCCACGGAGGGAGCCACCACTCTTCGCTCCCTCATTCCCTCTGACTGCCTGCTTGCTTTGGCCTTTCCCATCTCAAAGGGCCCAAGGCCTGCTGAAGGGGGTCGAGTCTGCCAGTGAACGTTCGGCTCTTCCGAGTTCATCCCCTTTTGTTTAGTTCCCTTGTTTCTTTCCAGGCCCCGGACATTTTGATTTGCTTTGTTGTCATCGACATCGACGGTAGTGTTGTACTGTAGTGTACATTGTGTGGAAAGATTTGTTTAGTCATTTACTTTTTAACATCATGTGTTCCTCGCATTGACTGGCATCGAACCACTTCCAGACGCCTCCTGCAGCTCTGGGGCTCCACAGAGCGTGAACAATTCCTGGAAAGCTGCTGTGGTAGTAATACAGGGATCAGCCGGCCTGTTTCTTCTCATTACTTATCTGCATCAATTTACCCCTTGGCTGCCTAACAAGCAATGAAGCAGAAGCTCAGTAGAGATAAGTGCATTGTTTTCTTATTCACACATTGAGGAGGAAAAAAATGTTTTTTATGGAACCAAGAATCTTACTATTTCCAGACTTGCTTTTTGTACATTGTGTTACCTTTAGAGACAAAGAAACAGTGGTGTGTGTCAGCTATGTCAAACTCTGTTTTTTGGTAGCGATTAAGCGATGCTTGGTGATACAGTTAGTTGACTGTTGGATGTATGGAAGTGTGCGACAGGTACGGACTCACCTGTCGTGCCCGAACACACAAATAGACAAAGACAACTCTGTACGGACTCTTGGTGTCAGTACAAATAAATGTGATGTATATTTTTAAATGCTTTGTGTTTGTAATTTGTAGCACCTTAGATATTGATGACAATGCACAAGGGTTACAGACAATTGTTATTTTGATCAATCTTTTGAATTTGAACCCAAATTATAATTTTGTCTATACAAAAACGAAAAATGCCTGTCGTAGTTTCCCAAAGCCGAGCTCATATCCTTAAATAACCTGGTTTGTCTGGCGAGCAGCTCGGGATCCAAAGATTTTCAATCTACAATCAAATGAAACCAAAAAAACATAAAACTCCCACATTTGAGCAGAAGAAAACAGAAGAGTTTGATTGATAAAATAGGGAATTCATGAATAATAATTAAACTAATGAACTTTAGCTCTTAAATATATCCTTAAATTCACTTTTCTTCTCTGATTGATCTGAATGTAGCCGCATCAGACGGTTCTTCACTTTGAGAGGTCATCCCGTGTCGTATGTAAAGTACAAGTTGATTGAATTCTGCACACGTGGCATTAAAGGCCGCAGAAACTTTTCTTTGATAAAAGAACCACTGCAGATCCATGCAGCGCCGCATCAAGAGCATCGCCCCGTCCTCTCTGGCTCCTCTCTCGCCTTGTCTGCAGTAAAAAGCTTATCTCTCGCTGGGCAGAAATCCAAATGAATTTGCCTCAAGTGTAATTAATGTTAGAACGGGGGGGATCTGTGGTCCTACAGCCTGCTCGCTCCAGCAGACCTTTCGCCTGCTCTGCCTCCAGCTCCCCGGACTCTCCCATTACAGAGTCAGACTAACCTGGCTCGCCGGCTCAGGTTCAGACGAGGGAACCGGCTCAAGCACATCAGATATAGACCCACACAGGAGGAGGAGGAAGGAAGACGGACGCCGCTCCGAGCTATGTCCATCCCACGGATTTCACTCAGAGGGAGGATGTGAGGTCGGTCTCCTCTTTCTTACTTTGTGCGTCATTTTGGCGGGTAGAGTGCAAAGCATTAGGCTGTTTAATGTAGATGGAAGGGGTCTCGCAGCCCTTTTAGTCCATTCAGTGACGTCGGCTCCAACACATACCTCCACACACAAGTGCTAATGTACCGACCTTTAATTATTCATGCAGCACCTGTCTGTGTTGGTGCATCTGATTTATGATAATGGATTATGGATACTGCAAGGGGACCCATTTGGTTCAGAGAGCCAGAAGCTATAGTGTCAGCAGTTAAAAAACCAACTCCCCGTAGGATAATGTCAGTGTGAGTGTGCTACGACTGTACTCTTTACTACTACTGTATGTTCTATATTTATGATTATTTTAGGGCTAATATGTGTTGATTTAAACAAACAAACTTTTAGATCGTAGTTATACTTCATAGGGAGGAAATAGATTTTGTACAAGAACATTTTATTTCATGGGTTGTTATTAGAGATTAATTTTTTTTTTTTTACAAATTTAAAGGTGGTCCAATAAAAATTATTTACTGGCGTCATGTTTTAAATGTGTCTCATGTTCCCGTACGTTTGGACTCATTCAGATAATTATGGTTTCACCCTAATTCAATTTTTACTTCCAATTGTTCTCAGTTAATAATTTTCTTCCAATGTATGTCTGGTTAATAGTCATAGAGCATAATTACAATTGAATCTAAGATATGAAAGCTGTGGTAATGAAACATGCATGTCATCCGAGTTGCTCCTTCATTTCTTTGCTGCTGTACAAAACAAACAGTTTCTTAAAAAAAAGAATATTTATATATATAATTATATATATATATATATATATATATATATATATATATATAACTACTGGGTATTCTGAAAGAGCCAGCTGTGTTTGCTGTTGGACGTTTTTGTGATGTTTGGATTTTCGGCCCGTTGGTTCCCAGCGGCAGAGGCAGGGATGGCAGAGAATGAGAATTAGGGGAAGTGTGCCATGTTCCTGTTGAAGACTGTGAACAGAGGGATTAAAGGAGCAGCTTTGCAGAGAGAGTCAACATCCAGCATTGTATTGCACCAGTCCAGTAATTATTGAAGTTATAATTGAAGTTGTCTTCTGACCTCTAAAAACCAGCACTCCCTGTAGTGGAGGAGTAGCTTCGGGAAGTCACAGTGCACAATGTGCTCATGTAGCTCCACATTCTAAGACATCCTCTTTACACTGTGACTTTCATTCATTTAGACTGTAAAGGAAAATGGACAGTGTAGTATCACAGTCACACAAATACAGACGAGTAACAGAGTCAGAAAACTATGTCAATAACATGTTTGCTAACATTAGTCACCATAAGCTTAAAGACCGATCATTTCCTTCCACTGTACAAAAGTGAAGCCAAAATATACGAGACACAGATGCAGCCACCTTGTGCTGGTTAAATAAATTGCAGCTGATGCAATTAAAACTGTGTATTTTGAGCAAGATAAAACTCAGCATTACACCGTTACCATAGACTGTTTATAAAGATAAACTACTTGTCTCCACTTCCTCCTATTGTACAAAATGAAGCCAAGATATCCTGGATGTGCAATCAGTGTGATAAGGACTAGTTCGGTCCATGCCCTATCTCCTAACATGGAGGAGAGTGGGTTTATGACCAATACTGCAACCGGCCACCAAGGGGCAGACCGAAAATATTGGCTGATTCTAAGGACATCTTTTGTTTTATATTTTCTTTAAAATATGATTCATATGCCTGAAAGAATATAAAGAATTACATCCTTTCCTTAGCATCAGCAGTTAGCATTGGTTTATTTTCATGTTGGGATATAGTTTTATAGAGCCAGGAATATAAAACGTAGGCTCCATCAAACATATTTAAAATGAAATTTAACATCCACTAGTTGCAAAAGTTGGATATGTAATTAATTAAACTAATACTGTTGCATGTGTGATGGCAGATGGTGCACTATTAGAGGAAAACTTTTCAAGAAACAGCAGCTAATTTGATATTCTGTGAGTCCTCTCTCGTAAGAAATTAAAGTGAAAGCGCCCTGCTGAGGGGCCTCATTAGTGCAACACATTTAAGAGTAAATCTAAGACGAAAGAAGACTAATGTTGTTGATTAAATTTTCCGTCCCTTGTAGTTCAGGCCTTGTGTTTTTCTACCTCCAAACATTTGCCATATTTAATAGGGAAGTCGTGGAGTGTGCGACTGTAGCTGCACACACAGCTCTGTTTCTAAAGAGAAGAATTAACAGTCCACGGTCAAAGTCTGAACAAAAATCTGAATACTGAAATCCTCATAAAGGCAATTGTTATTGCAAGGGTATTAGATGCTTTACGCTGCCACATGATGTCTAATTTCTACGTTTTCCAAAATGATGTGTTGTGTCATGCTGCTCAAAATAAATCACTTGCAAGAATTTCCCCTGCAGGTGTAATTCCTTCTAGGACATAAAAGTCACATCCTGTGATTTGTTTATAGAGATATTGGAATTCAGCCGAATCCCTGCAGATTGAAGGTGGTGATTCAATTTAAGATCCAAGCGACTTTCCAGCAGAACCTATTGTGTGAGGAAATATAACGGGGATGGATTTCTAAAACTGGGGGCTGCATAGGGAGATTTAAAGGTCAGGCAAGAAAGTAGTCAGCAAAGTGCAGACCTCAGCCAAGACCTTATAATCTGCCTGGTTACCTGTTACTCTCAAAGTCAATATTGTACCACGTAGACGACTGAGCAGTGATGTGGAGCTGCACAAAATACGACCCGGGGGTGACAGAGGCATTAAAGTCAAGGAGCAGGTTTCTTCCTGATGTGCACAATGTGGCTCGCACATTTTGAGATGTATGATATCTAGATTACACAGACAGAGATTACACATGATTAACAACAATTAGCACTTTGACTAATATATTTAAAATTTGCATTCAGTTAACTCATTTAAAAGACCAAAAATCATCATTTATAATTTACACACAAAAAACTGGCCTGAGGGTGTGATAACATGATTTAATCTGCTAAACATTGTGGGAACCTGTTGCCTTAAGGAAGCACTTCCTGGAGTCCAGGGCTCCAGGCATGCCCACTAATTACCCAGTGTGCACCTTGTGAACATATCTCACCTGGGAGTTGCAGGAGGAAGAAGGTGAACAGGCCCATATTCTCAGTGAGGCCACCGGTCCACAAAGTCACATGTCACAGAGCGGAAAATGACATCCAGAAGAATCGCCAGCAAACCAGGGACACCAGGAAACACACCAGGGAGACTTCCAGGAGACAAGCCTAAGAGACTTCCAGGAAAGAAACCAGAGAGATTTCCAGGAAAGAAACCAGAGAGACTTCCAGGAAATAAATCAAGGAGACCAGGAACCACAGAGACTTCCAGGAAACACACCAGAGAGACTTCCAGGAAACAAACCAGGGAGACTTCCATGAAACAAAATAACTTTGTGATCCAGGAAACTTTTATTTTCCCTGCAATCATTCTATTGCTCTTCTCAGCCCAAAGCTAAGAAAGTTATTACCTCCAGTGAGGATGTTTTCATTTGCGCTTGTTTGTTAGTTAATTTGCAGGATTACACAAAAGCTACTGGACTGATTACCAGGAAATCTGATGTGAAGTGAATATCGCAGGTCAAATATAAGTTGCTGCCCAGCTGTGATTTGCGTCGCCACAGTTAAGAAGAGATTGTTTTATTTGCCCCCTCGCTCAGACAGATTGGAAGTGAACATGAGGGGAAAGTTTGACACTGCTACATTTGTGTGTTGGTGGCTGGGCCCCGGGCTCAAATTCACAAGTTTTTAGGGCGTTTTTCAATGTTTTCCTTGATTTCTAAGAGAATAGTTCAGTGATCTTTATTAAAAAATTAAGGCAGACATATTAAGGGCACTGATATATGTGGTTTTAAAAGGGGACTATTTGGCCTTGCCAGAGGTATGTTCTCTATGTAAATGCCATCCCTATTTTTTTCTTTTAAAGTGAGGAGCGAGAGTCTTTGCATTTTTAAAACAGAATGTGAGAAAGCTCAGCATCGTGTAAAAATTGAAGTTTATCGCCAGGAT